GTCTTGACTGTCACCAGCCAGGAGCCCTGCTTTCTGGGCATGTTGAGGAGCTAAAATGGATTTCTTCTTGTTGGGGAGCACTTTCCTGGAAGTTTACCCGCTTTCCCCACAAAGCAAACAAGTGGTTTGTTTGGGAAGGGATCCCAGAGGTAACAGAGGGAGTGGGGAGCTGAGGTGGGAGGGAGGCAGTACATTGGGACCGACTGAAGACATGTCGAGGAGGCCAGAGGTGTCTTCACACCTCAGTGGGCCAGGGTCCTTCCTAGGTCTAACTGGCTGCCTGGGGGCTGCTGGGGCCATCCTGGGCCATCCCACGAGGAGGGTATCTCCCTCACGGCTGAGTGGGTCTGCAGTGTGACTTGGCCCTCTCTGGTATAGCTACTGTGGACCCTCTGAACTGGAGGCCTTTTGAAGTGGATTGCTGCAGCTCTGCCAGGTGCTTGGGCTGCCCCTTCCCGCCTCTGGAGGCCTCCTGGCCCAGCTGACTCTCAGCGCCTGGGCCGCTCTCTCTTGCAGCCTGCTGGGCCCCGCAACGCCATCCTCTTTCTGCTGCCCTGGCCACTTTCCTCTGGATTCTTGGCACCGAGTACAGGGAACACCCATCATCTCCTGGACTTTGAAGATGGACCCACCATCTTCAAAGTCCCCTCATGAGGCTTGTCGGGTGAGGAAACCACGGCTTCCCACCCAAACTGTCCCCAAGGAAAATCCTCCAATTTGTAACTCTAGTCCCCACTGGGCCCTCCCAGCTCTAAGCCTGAGGTTCTCCAACTTTTGAACTACTTTTGAACTACTGCCGCCAGGTCTCCTTCACACCCCCTCCCCCCACCTTGAGGGTTCATACTCCAGATTTATTTGCCTCACCACTCACATCCCAAATCTTATACCCTTCCACCCCCAAATTTACCCCACCACCCACATCCCTGCACTTTCCCTTTCTCAGAGCTAGGCCAACTGTGCCCTCACCCTCCACAGCCTGAGGCAGTGACCAAAGAGGACAGAAGAGCCATCCCTCTTGCTCTGTGCTCCCAGCCACCAGGCCCACTGCTCTTCAGGTCCTGAGCCCAATCTCTGGTGTTCAGGGCTGGCTTTGCTGTCAGGAATTTCTTCCATCATCCAACAACCCACTTTAGAATTGGGAGACACTTATTGGTAAAGGGAAGGGATAAAGAACTGAAAGAAAGCAATAGTTGGCATCTGTTGATGTCACCACAGATGTCCATAGATGTCACCAGGTGCAGCAAGCACTCTGCACATATATTCTATTTACTCTGCAGGCCTACCCTACCGAGCAGCTTGGCTCACCCATCTGAAAGTTGGGGAGAGAGACGTCCATCAAGGTTACACAACTTTCCCAGGGTCACACGACTGGCAGCACTCAGGGGCTGCTCCAGGCTCTTGCTGAGGGGTTGCTACCAGGGTACCCAGGGGACCTTGGTGCTGGGGATCAAACCCAGAGCTTCTGCTTACAACACACACACAGCTGCCCTCTGAGCCACCCCTATGGGGCCCTGATATCTTTGCTTTTTGGAGGGCCCACATCTGGCAGTACTCAGGGGCTGCTCCCAGCAGTGCTTAAGGGACCAGGCAGGGCTTGGGATTGAACCCAGAGCTCCTGCACCCAAAGCCCATGCTTCTGCCCATATCCTTGGTTGAGGGAGTGACTAGAAGTGTTCAGGACTTCTCGGGCATCACATATTCATCCTTTCTCTTACTCCACGTTCCTTGAAACCCGTGCTGATGGTCTCCTAGCACAGAGACTGACTTCTAAGGCCTTTGATGCTGTTCAGACTCTTGATCAAGGTCTGCCCTGGAAGCCAGTCAGACACCTGGGATATCCTCCAGATGCTGCACAGATGACCGGACAGGTTCCCTTACTGCTTGGCTCAGAGGATCTGGGACTCTGGTCTTTTGCATTAGTGGAGTTCTTTGGCCTCACAAAGGTGGGACGAACTGGGGGAGGGCAGAGAAGGGAGGTGCCCACAGCTGCTCTTACCCTGCCAGTACTCAGGGAAAGGATTTGGAGCAGAGTAGAGTAGAAAGCACCCAGGCCCTGCGGCTTTACTCCTAGTAACCAGTTTTGCTGGGGTAGATAAGACCTGGGCTTGGATCCAGGCCCACCCCCAGTCAACTACATGGCCTTGGGCAAGGAACATCCTCCCAAGCCTGTTCCCCCCCCCCCCCCACACACACACACACAAACTGAGATAATGACTGAGCCCCTGCAGGGCCTGCAGGGCTTTTAACAGGTTCTGCAATGAATCCCCACACACCTCGACACACCTCACACCTCAAGTGTTGCAGGACTCACCTCTGGGCTTATTTTGAATACTTTTATCATTCAACTTTCTCAGCCAAGCTTCTTGGTTAAAGGCTTTTCCCCCTGAGTTTCCGCCCCAGGTCTCTCTTATAACCTAACTCTGCTGGGTACTGCAAGGCCCTGGATAAATGATCTCTCCCCTCTAGACCTCTGTTCTTTCAGCCACAAAGCAAGAGGGGTGGGGGGCATCATATTTGCATTGCAGAAATGCAAGGGGCTAAATGAGATCATATAACAGTCCTTTTCTCATCCTCATTCCCCCATCATTCCCCCAATTTGGAAAATGGGTTAAGAGGGTTTTCTAGATCAAAGGAGGTTGCCATGGTAACTGTCTAATGCAAGGCTCTGCAAGAGCTTATTAAAACTGTAAGATTTAAAAACAAGCCCAAGCTCAGCATGGAGCTGACATTCCAAAAATAGACTTCGAAGTCAAATCACCTTCAAATTCTGAAATTTTATTCATTATGACAAAAATGTATCAGACAGAATATCATCTCTGCAATGTCCTTTCTTTTATACCCTACCTTTCTTTAAATTTTTTTTTACTATTTTTATTGAGGTGCTAGAATTTATAATACTGTTTCATACTTTTCATCATGCATACATCATTCTGACACCACACCCACCACCAGAGAGTACACATCCCTCCACTAGTGTCCCAAGGTAGAACACAAAGTTCCAGCCATCAGCACCCTCCCCATGTAAGCTGAGTTCTATAGACAAAATCTTCATTCCAATGACTTTGACCATCTGTTGTTATCCTTTACTGTTTCCTTTTAATTCAAGATATGGGTGATTCTCTCTCTCTCTCTCTCTCTCTCTCTCTCTCTGGTGACACCTACACACGAGTAAATCTGGCATTCCATACTCATACTACCCTACCTTTCTAAATGATTGGATTTTCTGTGCTACTTTTCCTTTCTGTTTGGGTAATGGAGAGTTACTAACATACTTTGTTTGGGGCCTTTCCTGCTAGTTGGTGCTGCCAGGACTATACCTAGAGCTGCTAGGTATAATTGGTGGTGGTGGTGTGGGGGAAGTTGGGAGCTGGGGTAGGCACGCAGCTAGGGCCCCCTACATTCAAGTATCTGCTCTTCCTGCTTGAGCTACATCCTCTGCCCCTAGCTAATTTTTTTTTAATTGTACTGGATCATTGTATGACTGAAACACAAGCATGAAAGTTTGTAAGTCTGTAACTGTACCTCACGGTGATTCATTTAAGAATAAAAAAAATAAAAATTAAAAAAAATAAAACAACCTCTCCCAAGAAAACCTTTTGTGAAACATCTCAGGAGTTCTGTTCAAATTCAGACTTTTGGAAAAAAAAAAACAATTTATTTTTATTATTTAAAACTTTTAACATGAGAATGTATTGCAGATTTGCTTTTTTGGTTTTTGTGGAGTAGTTGGGCCTAGCCAGTGTGGTGCTCAGGGGTGATTCCTGACCCTGGGCTCAGGAGTGACCCCTGAAACTGAATGCAATGCTCCCCTAGCTAATTCTTACAGGTTTGCCTGAACCTAGATAGGTTTCATCTAGTCACATTCTAATTTTTCTAAAATTTTATTATAATATATCAGTATACATGCCTTCAGTATTTTGTAGGCGATAAAACGCCTTCATACCCACCACTTGACTCTCCTAACTCTGTCCTGCTGGTTTCATTTGTGGGTTTTATTATTTCCATTTTACAAGTAGCATTCAGAGGGGGATTGGGTCATGCTCGTTAGTGTTCAAGAGCTACTCTCTAGAGGTGCTTGGGGAAGCATGTGGTAGTGCCTGGAATTGAACCTGAGCCTCTGTAGGTAAAATAGCAGGTAAAGAATGTGCTCCAGCCTTCTGAGCTATCTCCCAACTCCAGGTAACATTTTAATTATTTATTAAGCTGAAAACCAGCAAGAATATCAAGTCTGGCCAAAGGTCTCAAGCTGAGTTGGGCTTGGGACCAGAACTCGATTTGATCATGGTGCCCTACCTCGGTGGACTCTCTGAATGACCTGGGAGCACCCAGAGAGAGGGCCCCACCCAAGCTGTCTCCGCCCCTCCCCCCAGGCTGTGTGCTAACTCCTCTCTGCCTGGATCAGGTCACTGCACACAGAGGAGTGGACTCTCAGCGCCACTGTTGTCCAGTGTGCCCAGGAGACCATAAAAACGGGGAGCTTTTAGACAAGGGAGTAGGATGCTGAAGTTTTCCATTTCCATGGTGTCAGAGTTTGAATCCAGGGCCTCACACGTGCCAAGTCAAGTGCTCTGCAGCTGGGCCACACCCCAAGCTTTATGGGGGTGGCTGTCACAGGTGTCCAGACACAGGTTCTTGGACTGGGCGGATGAGGGAAGCTGTCTAAACTGAGGCTTTTGGACGGGAACTTGAGCCCAAAATGGGGGGTGCAGAGCTGGGGTGTTGCTCCTCTGGCCTAGCACTTCTCGTCCAGAATCCGTTGGCAGGGTTGAGTCCCTGTGTGTACGCGGCTTGAGCTGGGAAGCTTGTCCCCGCTGGTACCCCACCTGCCCCTCCGGTGGAACTCAGGCGCAGGCAGCCGAGGGAGGGGTCGCCGAGCGAGCAAAGGGCTCGGGGCGCCCCGATTCCCGCCCAGTGACCGCAGGCGCTCCCGAGCTCCGTGGCGGCCGCCGTGGGTGACCCGCGCGCTTCGGCGGGCGGCACGTTGGGGCGCGGCTGCTGTGCGCGGACCGCAGGGGCTCGCCCGGGCCCGCAACCCCCGAGCCGGCGCAGGCCCGCCCGCCGCTGCCCAGCCCGCCCCCGGCTCGGGGCGGGGCGCTCGCCCTACGCCCCTTTATCAGCCGGCTCGGGGGCCCGCCTGGGAGCGTGCGGGTCGGAGCTGCCTGTCCCCGCGCCCCTGGGCCACAGGTACACGGCCGGGAGGGCGCTGCGCGGTCGCGGGGCTGCTGAGCGCTCGGCGGGACCCGGGCTCCCGGGCTCCGTCGGGCCGGGAGGGAGGCGAGCTGCGGGGAATCCTGCGGGGAGGAAGCGAGGAGCAGCAGCACCGCGTAGCGGCGGGGAGCGGCTCTGTTAAGAGTAGGGTGGGGGACTTCAGTCAGAGGGAGGGGCTCCCCCAGTGGGAGCAGGGACCCCGGGGACGTGCGTCTGGGGGATGCGGGGGAGGGCAGTGGAGACAGGGAGCTGGGCGTGAGGGGAGTTATCTGCGAGGGAGTGAGCAGAGGGGAGGGCTGAGGATCCCTGGTGGCCCGGAAGATTGCGGTCCGCGCCCCCTATGAATCTAGGGGACACTACGGACAGACGTGGGGTGGTTGTGGTGGGGGTGAGAACTGGGACTGGGTGATGCGCGGGGTTCCAGCTGAGAAACTAAATGGCACCAGTGGTGTTGCAGAACGGTTGCTCCGAAGGCCCGTGGGGAGCGGCCTCCTCGAGGGAAGGGGAAGAGAAACCCACATATTTGCATTAAGCTTGAAGGCTTTGAGACCCCCCCAAACACCAGGCTTCCTTGGGGTTGCACCCCCAGATCTGGCAGGAGTGAATGGCCAGCTCAGACCAAGCCTGGTGGGCAGAAGAATGGTCCTGAGAGTTTGCCGGATTCTCAGGGCTTTGTAGTAATGGTGTGAATGGTGAGAACATCAGGTGTTACAGCCTCTTCCCAGTGATCTGGGTACCTCCTGTCTCTCCGTGCTGGGTGGGGACTGTACCCAGCTCCCCAGGCCCCTCAGGATCTGCTCTTCTTGCTCTTCCTTGTCCTCAGAGCAATTGAGTCTGAGAGCCCTTCCTCTGGGAGTTATTTATTAAATTTCTATTTCAGTTTCCAATAGTGCAGTTTCACGATAAAAGTTCAAAGGTTCAATATGGAGGACCAAAGTGCAATTACAAAAATGGAAGAAAAAAGAAAGCAACAAAGTATACTTCCTGTTTAGTTTTGGAAGATGACGAGGAACTTAAACACTTCTGATGGAGCTCGGGAATTGGTTTGTTTTGAAGGGGGATGGCTAAGATCAGGAGGTTAGCCAGAGCTGAAAACTTTGCTTCAATAATTTGTACACCCCTTCGCCCCCACCCCCACACTGGGTATCTGGGAGTGACCACAGCAGATAAAAGGCCAAAGCATGAGTTCTGCAATAAGACAGTTGCCCTGTGCTTTTCCGCAGTCAGGGCACTGACACCAGCTGACATGGAGGTCAAGCTGCTGCAAGGGGAGGGGAAATGCACTGAAGATTTTTGCCAGTAACATGTTACTGTTAACCATGAATGGGAGAGCCTGGTAGATGGATGATATTTCAGGTTTTCCCATACTATGTTGTCCTGGTCAGGACTCCTTAAGTTTTATTCCTGACAGCCCCAGGATTAATGCTGCTTTGGCCTTATTTTTATCTAATGAAGTTAAATGTTGCCTTCTATGCTAAGATAAAGCATCTTTGGAGGAAAATGTTGAACAATGGGGGTCCCCTGTGGAGTGGCAGTGAACATTTTGCATGCCAGGAAAGGGCGAAAGAGGAAGTAAAATTATAACCAAATAATATTTGAAATAGTTGGGTATTAGGCTGTTAGGCTCCAAGAGAGTAGATTTTAATACTTTCATTGTAGCTGGGCTTTAGTTCTATGAGGGTAATATTAAAAACCTTTGGTAAATTTATTCTTTCCTTTGACATTTGGAGAAATGGGGCCAAGGGACTTGTCCAAGGTCACACAGACATCAAGGGGCTGAACCAGGGCAAGAACACAATAAAAAGTGAAACCAGTGCTGTGCCAACACAGCCCTTCTTTTACTTTCAAAGGAGCCCTTGTGGTAGCCATTCTTAGTTTTCCATTAGGTTACAGAATTTCAGCAAAGTCACCTACACAGCTGTTAAAATCAGACCTTTAATCCCATCCTACATAAAAATGGGGATTCTAGGACCAGAGAGATAGTACAATGGATAGGGTGCTTGCCTTGCATGCGGGCAACTGGGTTTGATCCCTGAAACCCTGATATGGTCCCCCCAAGCCCTGCCAGGAATGATTCCTGAGTGCGGAGTCAGAAGGAAACTCTGAGCATCACCAGGTGTGGCCCCAAAACAAAACTAAACAAAACAAAAAAAGGATTCTGATTTCTCTCTTCAGTGCTCTACTATGGCCTCCTGGGAGCTTCCTTGTGGGCTGGATTTGTTTGAGTCCAGGGCCTCTCTGTTGTGTGTGGGAGCTCCTACAGGGCAGAGAGCTTGTCTGCTCTGCATTGTCCAGTGCCCCAGCCTTGTAGCTCTGGGCCTGGGATATAGTAAGCTGGGGTCAGATGTGAGCAATGAGAAATGGGAATCACCCAAGGCTCTTCCCGCTCCATATCTCATTTGCTGTCTCATCCCCACAACCTCCTCTTGTTTTGCAACCAGAGCCGTTAGTTTAGGGGACCCTGAGGGTGGAGACCTGCAGGAAGTGGGGGTGACAAACTTTGCTTGAGGAGTGAGTGTACGGGCCTTAAGTTTAGGAAAGGGGGATTATGAACGGAAGTGGGAGGAGGCAGGGAGTCAAACTCAGAGAAGAAGTCCCAGTAGGGTTCTGGAGACCTCCGTGATGAGGCCCAGCCAACCTGGAAGCCACCCAACGCTGCAGACAAGCCCAGTCGGGCCACATGCCTTTTGGATGATTTGCTAGCATGTTCTATTCCCTCTACCTTCCGTCTGGGGGTGGTGCAAATGGGACTAAAGCATATTCCCTGAGAATCTCATTCCACAGCCCCTTCCTTCACTTGGATCATGAAGTGAAAATCTTCAAGGCTCTGTGGCCCCAGAGGGTGTATTCTGAAGGTTCTTTGTTGAGGAATTTTTTTTTTCTTAAATAAAATAGTGTTAGTATCCCCAAAAGTCTAAACTTCAGCTGAAATCCTGTTTCCTAAATGCACCTTTAGAGAAAGGGATGTGTTTAAAGAGAGCAAGATGGGATCAGACATCACAGCCCCAAAGTGCTTGCTTGATATGCGGCCAACCCGGGTTCAGTTCCAGCACCTATTTTATGGTGCCCTGAGCCCAGACAGAAGTGACCTGAGTGCAGAGGGTGGAGACCTGCAGGAAGTGGGGGTGACAAACTTTGCTTGAGCCTGGAGTAAACCCTGAGCACCAACTAGCTATGGCCCTAAAACCTAAATAAATAATTTTCTAAGACCCTCAAATCTAGTGGAACCAGCTGTTCAGGGGTAAAAGAGAACTATTTTTTTTTTTTTTGCTCTTATCTGTTTTGGGGCCACACCAGCAGTGCTCAGGGCTTACTCCTGGCTTTGCACTTAGGGGTCACTCTTGGTGACAATCAGGGAACCATATGTATGAAGTGCCATTGATCAAACCTGGGTCGAACTCATGCCAAGCTACAAGTTACCCACTCTACTATCCCGGCCCCAGGACTGAGGGTGTGTGTGTGTGTGTGTGTGTGTGTGTGTGTGTGTGTGTTTGGGTTATACCTGATCGTACTATCGGACTACTTCTGGGTCAGTGCTTAGGGGTTGTTCCCAGCAGTATTCAGGTATTGAACTGGGGCTCCTGTGTGCAAAGCTTGTGCTTCAGCCCTTTAAACTAGCTCCCTAGTCCAGAGAACTGAGTGTTTTAGACAACACCAAATAATCTCTCAAGCTATATATATTTCACATATTTCTACCATTGCTAATTATAATAGTAGTTATTGAGTTCATAAATTGTGCTGATAAGTTTAATCTTTGCAGCAGGGTAGGAGGTATATCCTATTATAATTATCATGTGGGAGCAGAGAAGGTTAGTCACTTGAGTATGGTCATACAGCTGATACATTATGGAATCAGGAGTCAAATCTGGCTTGTCCAAACCTAAAATCTTCATATATATTTTCTTCTTTATTTCTAATTTCCTTTTACTCAGCCTCTTGTTGAGTAGGGAACAGAAGTCAGTCAAATTTGCCTGACAACCAACCACCAGACCAGGACACCCGATCTCAGCCCAGTTCTGTCTGCTTTGCTGTGTGATCTTGGGTAAGTCCCCACTTTTCAGCTGGCTTCTCCTTTTCCCAACTGTTTCCTGCAGAGAGTATTGGGAGGTTCCTTCTCTGTGGACACCTGGCTAAGGGGACAGTTTAGTCTGAACTTGAGCTTTGTGGTATTGGGGAGGTGGGAGAGGGGCATGATGGGAGGTTGTCTTTATTTATTTTGCTTTTTTTGGGTCACACCCGGCGATGCACAGGGGTATTCCTGGCTCTGCACTCAGGAATTACTCCTGGAGGTACTCAGGGGACCATATGGAATGCTGGGAATCGAACCCGGGTCAGCTGTATGCATGTCCAACGCCCTACCTACTGTGCTATTGTTCCAGCCCCGGTTGTCTTTATTTTTGATTATTACTAGGAGCGATTTGCTCGAGCGGGCCCAGTAACGTCTCCATTGGAGACTTTGTTGTTACTGTGTCTGGCATATGAAATACTCTCGGTAGCTAGGCCGACCCGAGTTCGATTCCTCCGCCCCTCTCGGAGAGCCCGGCAAGCTACCGAGAGTATTCGATATGCCAGACACAGTAACAACAAAGTCTCCAATGGAGACGTTACTGGGCCCGCTCGAGCAAATCGACGATCAACGGGAGGGCCTTTACCTTTACCTTACTAGGAGCGATAGCACAGCGGTAGGGCATTTGCCTTGCACGCAGCTGACCCGGACGACCTGGGTTCGATTCTTCCACCCCTCTCAGAGAGCCGGCAAGCTACTGAGAGTATCTCACCAGCACGGCAAAGCCTGGCAAGCTACCCATGACGTATTCGATATACCAAACACAGTAACAACAAGTCTCACAATGGAGAGGTTACTGGGCCCCCTCGAGCAAATCAACGAACAACAGAAGGACAGTGCTACAGTGCTACTAAGAGTTTAAAAAAAATTAATTAATCCACCTAGAACAGGGATAGAAAACTCCTCTGCAAATGACCAGATAATCATTACACCTTTAAAAAATTTTTTTTTATTGAGATTTAGTGACTTACAATGCCGTAAATAATGGTTTATCATGCACAATTCCCATACCACACCCATCACCAGTGTACCTGGGGGTGGTCTTTAGCCCCACCCTCTGGTGACATCACACAAGCCCCCTAAGTCTCTGGAAGCCCCGCCCCTAGTGACCCTCACTGGTGAAAGGGCCCCTCAGTGCTTGGCATCTGGAGAATTTTCCTCATCCCACAGCAGAAGTCATCAACCCCCAGATTCAAGGGGAACCCCTAGGTAACCCCTGCATTTGGGAGGCCATTGAACTATGCTAGGCAGGACTGGGCTGCTGGGCACCAGTTGGTCCTGACAGCAAGGTGGGCACTCCCTAGAGGATGTCTTCAAGGGCATACTGCGGATACCACCCTCATCCTTCCAGCTCATACTTAGCTCTGCCTCCCCCCACCCTCCCATCCCCTATCCCCCCTCACCCCCATTTCTTTCTCCTGAAGTCAGAGCCCCTTTCCATGCTGTCAGGACCTAGGGACTCATATTGAAGATAAAACTGTTCCGGTGGAATGGACTTTGGCTGAAGCTGGACTAAAACGTGAGAGCAGGATCTGTGTTTTCCCAGCATGTGGCCTGCAGTTCCGGGCCCAGGGACCCTTGTATATGAGGGAGCTGACCGGGAACTACATCCACCTAGGGGGAGCTGTGAACCAACGCTTTGCTGGTGCTTAGTGTGTGGATAACTGACTACTGGGGGACACTGTAGCGTCCCGTTGTTCATTGATTTGCTCGAGCGGGCACCAATAATGTGTCCATTCGTCCCTGTTGCATGCTAGTATAGCCTAATGGCGTCTGCTTGCTCCAGGAACATGAAGTGAGACTTGTTGTTACTGTTTTTGGCATATAAAATACGCCATGGGTAGTTTGCCAGGCTCTGCTGTGCGGGCGGGATACTCTTGGTAGCTGCTGGGCTCTGCGAGAGGGACAGAGGAATTGAACCCAAGTCGACCGTGTGCAAGGCAAACGCCCTACCCACTGTGCTATCGCTCCAGCTGGGGGACACAGAAGTGCCAAATCCAGCGTGTGAGTAACTGGCCAGAGAGAGATGCTGAAGTTCCTGGATGCAAGTCAGTTGCTAGGGAAACAGTTTATATGAAAGGATGTTTACAGTTTATAAGATGGATGTGGTTGTTCGCTTTTGGACAGCATTTCCCAGAGTGGTTCTGTGATCTGCAGAAAACAGGCCAGAGAACTGGGTGCAAATCATTCTCTCTCTCTCTCTCTCTCTCTCTCTCTCTCTCTCTCTCTCTCTCTCTCCCTCCCTCTCTCTCTGACCTTGGGTAAGGAGAGTTTCTAATTGCTCTGAATTACATTAAGCTCAACAATAAAAAGGGCATAATAATACCTGCTTGACAGATGAGAATTAGTTCCAACAAGGCTATGAAGAATGAGCACAGAGTCAGCTGTATAAAATTTCAGCTTTCTAGTTATTACTGGGAATGGAATGTTTGATCACATAAATGCAAGGTCAACACAATGGAACGGGCTTCCTTACCATGCTGAGATGCTTAAGAAGTTCCAAGTGCAGGTATGGAGCCCTGGGCTGAACTTGACAATGCCTGGTGACCCAGGGACTAGGCAGCAACCTCTTGTTATCATTCCTTGTTCTTTGCCCTTCTGGAGGAATGTAAACTTTACTAAATTGAGCCGCTCTAGGGAAGGCTTTGCTGTCTTAGGGGTTTTGCTTCCTCGGTGTGAAATAAAAGGGAGTTGCATGAGGATTTCTTTTGCCTCAGAGGTTCTGAGTGTGAAAGACTAAGCTGTGGACAAGTGTGGAGGGCAGACATTTGAGGCTTCTGAAGTTTGGGATTTGGGGGAAGAGAAATTCAGTACTGGCTCCCTAGCCAGCATGTAGCACTAGGGAGTTCTCATGGTCTGGAATAGCAGTGGTCCTGTTAATTAGTCCCAGCCTGCTCCTTTACCCTGCCCTGAGCCAGGCTGTCTGGAACCGGAAGAAGATTGTCCACACATGCCTTCTGGAGCAATCTGTCCAGACGCTTTGACTGGTATAATTCTTGCCTTCTCTCTGGGAAAGGTCAGAGGATCAGGTGCAAAACAGAGGCGCAAATCACACTGGGGTGTGGAGGAATGTGATCGAAGGGCTTGTTTTCATGCTTGCTGTCTTTGCATAGCAAGTACCTCTCATTTACATGGTGTGTATGTGTGTGTGTGTGTGTGTGTGTGTGTGTGTGTGTGTGTGTGTTTTGGGTGTTTCTGTATCAGGGAACATGAATGCTAGCATATTCTGCATATATCTTCCAATCTCCGATTGTGAACTGGTATAAAGATAGTTGCAATAAATATATGATGAACCAAGGACAAAAACCTAGCTTCCAAATCCTTAAACTTATTTGAGGAAGGGGAGCAGTCCAGCAGGTTCTAGTTTTTGAGTAAATATTTATTTAGTGAAGCAAGAGAGCTTTTTATTGAATGAAACTTGCTTAGAAAGATGTGAGGGGAATGAAAGAGAGATGTACGTGCTCAAGAGAAAACACTGGCTTCTCTAGAGTGGAAACAGGCAAGCAAAAAAATAGAGACGAGCAAGCACGGTACGTGTTCAAGAAGAAGACAGGCTTGAAGAGCAAGCCATAGGAGATATTTAATAAATGACATGGTAATGAAAAGCTGAATTAAGCAGCCAGTACTAGACAACAACTATAGAATTATGAAATGATTAATAGCACTGGTCAAATCATTTTCAGAGGGCCTTTTAGGGTAACAGTAAACATAATGTGGGGCTGGAGCGATAGTGCAGTGGTTAGGGTACTTGTTTTGCATGCAGCAGACCCAGCTTTGATCCCTGGCATCCCCTATGGTCCCCTGAACACCATCAGGAGTGATTTCTGGATGCAGAGCCAAAGCCAGGAGTAACCCCTGAGCACTGCAAGGTGTGACCCATCACCCCCCCCCAAAAAAAAGAGGTGGTGGCTCTACTGCTCCCTAGTTGGGTGGTTGCGCAAAGTACTTAACTTCACTATGTCTCAGTTTCCTTTCTCAAAAAGATAGTAATAGGGGCTGGAGAAGTAGTACAGGGGTTAAGGCGTTAAAGCACGTGAGTTGCAGGGTGCTTAATTCCTTTGCACCGTGGTACCCTGTACATTGCCAGGCACAGCCCTACACACTTTGCAAGGTGTGTAACCCCGGCACCCTTAGCACCAAACGGATGACCCAGCTCATCCCCACACCTCAGGACTTGAGCATCCTTGAGCCTTCACATTAAATGTTTGACCTGTTTGGCTGAGAAATGTGGGAGGAGACGCCCACTGCCCCCAGTGGAAATAATGCTAGCACCTACCTCACAAGGGATTATGAAGCATAAAGGAGTCAATAGCAATCAAGTGCTTAAAACAGTGTCTGGCACATAGCAAGTACTATGGATGCAAGTTTTCCTCTCTATACACCCTACTGTAGATGTACCAAGGGCAGGGAGCATGCCCTTTCCCTCTCTGTCCTCCCCTAGAACAGGACAGGATAGAAAGGAGGCTCAGAAAATGTTTGCTCAATGAAGGAATGACTTCGTTTCAAGTGCTATGTTGTAAAAACCCACACAGGGAGGTTGGGGTAGCTGGGAGCATTAAGGAGTCCTCTGGAGATGGTGGCAGCTTGTAGTGCCTTTGAAAGGTTTCAGTGGAGGAAAGGAAGTTGGCATGAGTATACTGTTTGGCTTAGGTGGGATATGAGGGTGGGAGTAAGTCTTGTATTTTTTTTATGCCCTAAGGTGAAGAGTTAGAGCAGGTTCAATTAGCAGCTATGGGTGTGGGAGGAAGGCTGTAGAGGGGCATTTCTGAGAGGGGGTATTGTTGAGGAAAAGGGTTCTTTTGGTTTGAACCCAAATTTCTGACACACACACCACACATTCCAGTGAAAGGGCTGCTTTTATAGACTCAACTGATTGTTCCTGGAGGACTTTCAGGAAAAAAGTGGTTTTATGAGTGAGTCTTCAAGAGTGTGAAGTGTTTTGGGATGCTGTTGTATGTTCTATCATTCGGCAAATGCTGAAAGTCAGCTACTTGTTAAACCTAAGGGCATAAAACAATGAGATAAACTGCCTTGCTTCTGTAAGTTCACATCAACTTTAATGCCATGTGGCTGAGAAGTGTTAATGGTCATAGGATGGGCACCTGAAGGCAGACAGTAAAGCAGAGAACTGTTTCCTTTTGACCACATCTGGTGATGCTCAGGGGTTATTCCTGGCTTTGCTTTCTCAGGAATTACTCCTAGCAGTGCTCAAGAGACGATATTGGATGCTCTAGAGCGAGCACTGTACTGTCCTTTCAGCCCCAAGCAGATCTTGTTGGAGGTTCTGAAGGCAGGAAAAATATAGGAAGAAATAGGTCTTGGAAGGATGAATAGGGATTTGCCAGGTACACAAGACAAGAAAATGTCTCAGGCAGAGGAAATAGCTGTGTAAAGAATACTGTGGTGTTTGGTGAGACTGTGGCCCTATCTGAAGTGCATTGTGGTTGAATAATAACACTGGAAGAAGACCGTGTCAGGTAATGGAGGTCAGTGAGAGACCCTGGCCACGCTGAAGGGTCAAAAGGTGGAGGCCTAAAGTCTATTGGTGTTGCCACAGGTGAACACTGGTGACAGCCTGAACGTAGAAGAGAAAAACAGGGCTTGTTGGCCTAATATCAGGTCTGGGGAGGGATGACTAGGGTCGTGAGCCCCACAGATGAATGCATACTCACACAGTTGAGCACCAGCTATGTGCCAGGCACTGTTCTAGGCACCTGGGATGTGTGAGGGGCTGAGCAGTTCTGAGGTGACTAAACTGTTCTGAGGTGACTGCTAAACTGTCGTTCAACTTGACACCCTTCCTCTTAAACTCAACGTGGAAAAGAGAAGAAAGAACTGGCATCAGAGGGCCAGAGCAATAGTATAGCATGCTTTGTTTTTCCCTTGTACATGGCTGACCTGGGTTTGACCCTGTCACCCCATACAGGCCCAAGCCTGCCAGGAGTGATTCCTGAGTGCAGAGCCAGGAGTAAGGAGAGAGAGAGACAGACAGATAGACAGAAAGGGAGAGGGAGAGAGAGGGAGAGGGTGAGAGAGAGAGAAAGAGAGAGAGAGAGAGAGGAGAGAGAAAGGGAGAGAGAGAGAGAGAGAGAGAGAGAGAGAGAGAGAGATGAACTGGCGCCAGAACCATCCAGAGGTGGTTCCTGTGGGGGAGGAGTTGGACACCAGCCACCTGACCTTGCTCTGTTCTCTCAGCTCCCTCCCTGATCCACAGCTATGGCCACTGGAGTGGCCCAGAAGCTCAGCCACCACCCATCGTCCAGTTTGCGGCAGCTCCACCGGGAACCCCAGCCACCCGCACAACCAGAGTCTGTCTTCACAGTGGACAGAGCCGCGGTGCCTCCCCTCTTCTGGAAGCCCTACATCTATGTGGGCTACCGGCCGCTGCACCAGACCTGGCGCTTCTACTTCCGCACGTTGTTCCAGCAGCACAACGAGGCAGTGAACGTGTGGACCCACCTGCTGGCGGCACTGATGCTGCTGCTGCGGCTGGTCCTCTTTGTGGGGACCGTGGACTTCTGGGGAGACCCTCATGCCCTGCCCCTCTTCATCATTGTCTTCGCCTCCTTCACCTACCTCTCACTCAGTGCCCTGGCTCACCTCCTGCAGGCCAAGTCCGAGTTCTGGCACTATTGCTTCTTCTTCCTGGACTATGTGGGTGTGGCTGTGTACCAGTTTGGCAGCGCCCTGGCGCACTTCTACTACGCCATTGAGCCTGCCTGGCACGCTCAGGTGCAGGCCATTTTCTTGCCCATGGCTGCCTTTCTCGCCTGGCTTTCCTGCACTGGCTCCTGCTACAACAAGTATAGCCAGAAACCCGGCCTGCTGGGCCGCACTTGCCAGGAGGTGCCCTCGGCTCTGGCTTATGCATTAGACATCAGTCCTGTGGTACACCGCATCCTGGTATCCCCCAGCCCTGCCACAGACGACCCAGCTCTTCTTTACCACAAGTGCCAAGTGGTTTTCTTCCTGATGGCTGCCGCCTTCTTCTCAGCCTTAATGCCCGAGCGCTGGTTCCCTGGCAGTTGCCACCTTTTTGGGCAGGGCCACCAAATATTCCACGTCTTCTTGGTGCTGTGCACACTGGCTCAGTTGGAGGCAGTGGCGCTGGACTACAAGGCCAGGCGGCCCATCTACGAGCCTCTGCACACCCGCTGGCCTCACAACTTCTTGGGCCTCTTTCTGCTCACCGTGGGCAGCAGTATCCTCACCGCCTTCCTTCTCAGCCAGCTGGTGCGGCGCAAGCTCCATCAGAAGGCCCAGTGAATGGGCGTGGGGGCTCATAGGGAGGGATGTACAGATGGGGTCTGCAGGTCTGGGCTTGTCCCCAGATGGGGAGGCCTGGTTAAGTTTTTTGTGCCTGGCCTGAGGTGACTCTGCACACTCCTCAGTGGCCAGGGGCAGCACTGGCCAGTCCTTGGAGCTGGGGATTTGCTGGGAGCTGCTGACGTCCATTTCTGGGTCTGCCTCAGCTCCCTGTTCTGGGAGAGGGAAAGAGATAAAGACCTGGGCCACCCTGTTTGCTTCCCCTCATTGCTTCTCACTCAGGGTGAGGATGGGGGTGTTGCTTGGGCCAGGATACCAGGGTTTGGGTTTCTAGATTATCTAGATGGGGCAAAAGGTGGGATTTAGGCCAGAGTCATATTTGATCTAAAATACAATGGTGTCCTCAGCAACTTCCTTTTATTCGAATTTCATTGGTGGCTATGCTCCAGATATGTACAAGATCTTACCATTTCTTGAATTTTGAAGCTATAGTCCCCAAGGGTAGGAGTGAGGCCAGGGGGGAATGAATCCCACCCAGTGCCCTGTATTTCTTTAGCCACTAGTCCAGTGGATCCCACATCTCCTCACTGGGGTTTCTCCAACCAACGCATCTTGTTCCCAGCCTGCTTCCTGGTTCCCTTGTGCTCCATTTAGCTATCCAGACAGTCTTCCCCGGGCCTCTGCTCAGAGGCAGACCATCAGCTGGGGCTGCAGCTTCATGCAGAATGATAAAGGCTTTTAGAGAGAAATGGCTGGTAGGGGAGAAACACTGAGGAGGGACTGACCAGTGCTGCCTGGGACTCTCAGGGTCTTGGGAAAGGTGAATAGATGGTAAAGAGAGGAAGGGCATTACAGGCAGAGGGGAAAACTCTAGCAATATGAAGTTCAGTGGGGCTGCAGCTAGAGGTAGTTTGGACTCTGACATGTCCTGAGTACAATAAAGTGACTGTGATAATTGCTGTCTCTTTGCTTTTTCACTCTTGTCCCAGTAAGGGGGCCCTTCCCAGAGGTCCCTAGAGATTGCTAAGGGTGTTGGAGGAAAGGCTTTTCAGAGGAAATTTGGATCCCTGGGGTGGACATCAGGAGGAGAGAGGCAATTCTTATTTTTTCTTTGTCCAGAGGTAGGGCTAGGACTATATATGAAACTTGGGGAGAGGTGAGGGAATGAAGGGAAGTTGAGAAAAAATGTTTAGCTCGGGATGTACTTTGATTCTAGAGCACAGATCTTGCATGTGAATTCCTGTTTGACCACACTAAAAATAAGTATTTAGAGCTGGAGAGACAGTGGGTAGGGCATTTGATCAACCCAAGTTTGATCCCTGGCACTCTGTATGGTCACCAGAGCACTACCAGGAGTGATCCCTGAGCACAGAAGGAGTGAACCCTGAGCATTTGGGGCCTACTGTGGCCCCAAATAAAAAACATTTAAAATAGGGGCTGGAGCGATAGCACAGCGGGTAGGGCGTTTGCCTTGCACGCGGCCGACCTGGGTTCAACTCCTTTATGGTCCCCTGAGCACCACCAGAGTGCAGAGCCAGGAGTAACCCCTGTGCATCACCAGGTGTGACCTAAAAAAGCAAAAAAAAAAAAAAAAACCCATTTAAAATAGACATAAATCCAACCAATTTGACAGTATTTCATCTTCTACTCTTCCTTTTAATCAAGGAAGATTTTATGCTATATTTTTACAATATTATATGATATCATTTTTCTTGGGGGGGCAGTGGCTGCACCCAGCAGTGCTACAGGCCACATTGTCCTGGGGATCAAACCCAGGGCTCCCATATGCAAAGCCCTTTAAGTCATCTCCATGGTCCTATATGTTAACTTATATAGCATTTTCCCACTGTACAGGAAATATATATACACACACACACATTTGTACATCTTTGCACATATATACATATATCTATTTATATAGATATATATCACATCTCCTTAGCCAGTCAGCTGGCGATGGGCATTTGGGTTGATTTCCATGTTATGGTTATTGTGATTAATGCCGCTATGATCACAGAGGTGCAAATATGCTTTCAAATTTTTTTTATATCCTTGGCAATATACTCCGGAATGTGGTTGTTGGAGCATATGGAATTTATTTTTCCCTTTCTATTCTTTTTCTTTTCTTTTTTAATTTAGTGAAGCAATTAGTTTTGTCTTGTTTTGTTGTTGGGCCACACCTGGCTATGCTCAGGGTTTACTCCTGTCTCAGCCCCCGTCCTGGGTTCAATTTCTGTCCCTGAAAAAAAAAAAAGTGTCGGAGCGATAGTTGGGGGGGAGGCGGGGCAGAGTGCTTGCCTGGTACCCAGCTGGGTTCCACCTCGGATTCCCCATATGATCCCCAGAGCTCAGCCAGGAGTGATCCCTGAGCTCAGAGAGTAAATCCTGAGCACCGACTGATATGTCAAAAAATACAAATAAATAAGCTGTAAATAAACAAGCGCAACAGCAAAAACGAACCATACGTTCCTCGAGCGGTGGCGCCAACGTAAGCGTAGCCAGCCCGAGCGATGGCAGACCGGAAATACTAGCTCTGAGCCCCCGCCGCCCTGCTGCTGGGGGCGGGGTTTGGAGCACGGGGCGGGGCTTGGGCTGGCGCGGACGCTGGGGGCGGAGCCTGCGCGGGGCGGCCGTGGCGTAGCTCCGCCTCCGGCGTTGGCGCGAGATTCGAACGTCGGTGCCGGCGCTGTGGGCTTCACCTGAGGCGCTGGGTGCGCTCCATCGTTCGCAGCTGGCTCGGGACCCTTGGAGGCCATGAAACGCCGAGGCCGCGAGGAGGAGGAAGCCTGCGGCGTGTGGCTGGACGCGGCGGCGCTGAAGCGGAGGAAAGTGCAGGTGGGACTTTGGGACGCTGGAGGGGGAGCTGAGAGGTTCTGGGCTGCGTGAGGGCGCAGCCATTCCGGGCGGGGACCCTTTTTCCCCCCCCCCAGTGAAGTCGGGGGCCGAGGGAGACATCTCGGAGAATTTCGAGGCGAGAGGAGGGATTGCAGTTTCCAGAAGGACGAATAATCCTGTTTGGAAACGGAAATGGGCGGCCGGTCTGGCGAGCTGTGGAGATTCCGAGACCGCCGGGTGGTGCGTGAGGCGTGAGGGAGACTCGAGGCGCCGGGGAGCCTGGGGAAGAGGCCGGAGCCTGGAGCGCGGTGCGGAGGCGCTGGGGGCGGGGGGCGTTCCGGCCCCGAGGCCCCGGTTCTTCCCCGTTTGCCCGGAACCGGTCACTTCAGAGGAGAAAGGGGGGCAGCGGGAAGGGACGTTGTCGGCCGGGTCATGACCCGAGCGTCTTCGGGGCCAGACGCCGCGCGAGTGCGTCACTCCCGGAAGGCTGGGAATCATCCCCTCGTTTGGCTCTCGTGCGGAGTCCCTGGCACTTAACTGCCGAGTCTCGGAGACAGGACTCTGGGTGGGTGTCTGTTGCTCTGTGCTGTTTGCGGTGGCGGCATCTTTTGGGTGCGAGCTGAGGCTGGAGAGCGCGCGCAGGGTGTGCTTGTGGGAGTTGCGGGGTGGGGGGCGCCTCTATTCCCTGCCCCTCAAGCACGGGGAGTGACCGCTGGAATAGCACCCCGCTTCCTCCCTCGTCCCAGGCATTTTAGGGTGTGGCCCCAAAACCCTAACTCCTTCACCACCACCCTCCTCCCCCCCCAAAAAAAAAACCAGTCCACAGATATGTAGAAAAAAAATTTTTTTAAAAGATGCTTAGACAGGTTCTTTCTTGAAAGATACAGTGTTGGAGAAAAGAAATGTGATTGTAACATTTATTGAGTCTATGTGTCAGGTATTTTGCAAGGGACATGACACTGCTTATCTGTAATAGGTCCTCACAAAGTTCATTCACATGCTTTTGTTACCTATTTTATTGATAATCTTTGCGGCCAAGATGTAGAAATTTGCCCAAGTAGCCTGGCAGACATCCAAGACCAGTTCTGACTACTGCACAAGCCAGTGCTCTATTATTATTACTTTTTTTAAGGACTTTTGTTTTTTTTTCAGAATCCCCTCTTCCCCCCACCACCACTTTGTTCTTTGTTTTTGGGAAGTAAGGTAGTTTTTGTTGATACTTTTTAAGAGAGATATGAGGGGAAGAGAGGGATGAAGTATGTGTTGGAGAACACAACAACTTCTCGGGAGCAGAAACAAGCAAAGCAAGCTTGAGACCAGCAAGCAAAAAACTAGTTCACTTAAAGAGGAAGCAAGAATTTCCCTTTCTCTTAGTTGTGATGACTAGGCATCTTGCATTTGATTGCGCTGCTTGCACACACCTGATTTTTATTTTTTTTTTGGGGTCACACTTGGTGATGCTCAGGGTTACTCCTGGCTTTGCACTCAGGAATCACTCCTGGCGGTGCTCAGGGAGCACCTGGGAATCTGGGATGCTGGAAATCAACCCTGGTTGGCCAATCGGTTGCGTGCAAGGCAAATGCCCTACCCGCTGTGCTGTCACTACAGCCCCACACACCTGATTGTTTTTGCACCAGAGGTTATTCACTCATTGTGGTTCTGGGAATGTGGCAGTGCTGGAGGGAAGTTGTGCTTGTGGGATGATAGCCAGGATGGTCCTCATGTTTTGGAGGCAGGTACTTTACCACAAACTGTCTCCTGATCCCGTAGACCAGTACTCTTGTTGTTGTTTTTGTTTTGGGGCCACACCCATCTGTGTTTAGGGCAACCTCCTGGCTCTGCCAGACCTTAGGTGCTGGGGATCAGACCTTGATTGGCCAAATGCAAGACAAGCACCCTACCTTGTACTAACTCTCTGTACCCCTGACCAGCACTCTTAACCACTTCCAAAATGTATGACCAGTTGAGTGGTTTGGAGGAAATACAGTTTTAGAGGCCAGAAACATTATCATGGCTTGGAATTATCAAGAGAGATTCATTTGAGCAGATAGAAAGGGATTGATGATTGGAAGGATGTGCTGAATTTGAATACTTGGTGCAAGAGTTTACAGATGGATGGTTAACCTAATCTGAACCACGAATGAGAATCTTTTCTGTAGGTGGCTCCAATCTGCTGAACAAAATAACAAATGAAACAAGACAGTTTTTATTGAAATTTACTTAGTACTGTATGAGGGGAGATGAGCTTGTTCAATTGAGAACACAGCAAGCAAGGTATATGTTCAAAGGAGAACAAAGACTTGAAGAGCAAACCTAACATAATTCTTATTTTGAGAAATAAAAAATGAAATACCTGTTCCTTCAGAACCAAATTGTTTTAGCTTAAACACAATTTGTTGGGGCCGGAGTGATTGTATAGGGGGTAGGGCATCTGTTTCAGTCCCCAGCATCCCATATGGTCCCCTGAGCACCGCCAGGAGTAATTCCTGAATGCAGAGCCAGGAGTAACCCCTGAGCATTGCCGGTGTGACCCAAAAAGAAAAATTAATAATTTATTGAGGGGGCTGGGGAAATAGTACAGTGGGTAGAGCATTTGCCTTGCATGCAGCTGATTCTGGTTTGATCCCTAGCACCCATATGCTCCCCTGGAGCCTACTTGAAAGTGATCCTTGAGCACAGAGCCAGGAGTAAGCACTGAACGACACTGTACCTCCCTTCCAAAAAAAAGAATTTCTTTTTTATAGGTAATGAATTCATGTGATACATAAAAATGTGTAGATGTCTAGACATAGCCCTGTGATAAAGTATAGAAGGGAAGGGGAAATATGTATAGGGTATGCAGTGAAATAACTCTAATATTGATGAGGAAAGTAGATCCCTGTTTTCCTCCACAATGAGGAAAATGATCTTTCTCCCCATTCCTTCAAGGAGAAGTGAAAGGCTGCTGGAAACAGACTGCTACTATGGGATGCATACTGACCTTTCTAAGCAAGTAACATGCTTAGGAATTTCTGCTTCTTTACTGTCTGCTGCCTGCAAATGTACCATCCCTCATCCATAAAAACTGGGTTCTGACCTTTGTTCTGGGCCCAGACCAAAAGAGCATGAGCTCACTGGGTCCACCCTGTGCAAATAAATCCTATTTCAAAAGCTTTGTGAGTGAGATTCCCCCCCGCCCCCAGTCTGATCTGGCAAAATCTTACAATATTTTTAACTATTCTTTCCCATCTCAGGCCACAACTTGTGTTCCCAGATATAGTCTATATCTCTATTAGTATTTCTATTTTTAAAGTAGTATAATGTATGTATTATATTATGTATTATCCTATTATGAGTCTTTACACATAATGACAAAGAGTACTTCTTTATCTATAAAGATGATAGTATTCTATTATGCAGAATAGCTCCTATCATATATAGTAATATTGTCTTAATCTGCTTGAGTTGTAATAACAGACTTAAACCAGTGCCTGCCTGCCTGCCTGCCTACCTTCTTTCCTGCTTGCTTGCCTGCCTGCCTGCCTTCCGTCCTTCCTACCTTCCTCCTCCTCCTCCTCCTCATCCTTCCTCTGGCAGTGCTCAGGGCTTGCTCCTGGATCTGTGTTCAGGGATCACTCTTGGTATGGTTCAGGATGGTGTACTGGGGTTTGAACCCAGGTAGGCTGCACACTAGGCAAATGTCCTACCTACTGTACTATCTCTCAGATCCCTAAGCCAGTGCTTTATAATTGTCCAATTGTCAATGTATGCATTCAATAAAGAGTTTGGAAATGAAAGAAGGTGGGGGGCAGTGGTGGGCAAAAGAGTAAGAAAGAAGATCATCTGTCACCAAGGTACAAAAGTGTCATTAATAGAATGAATTCCTAGAAGTGGAATCTGTAAAGCCATAATTCCTCAGTGGTTCTATCAGTATTTTATGTTAGCTAAGCTTATTAGCAATTTAAAATTATCTTGCTTCCTTTGGAATCTTTATCTCTAGTTTGTGCAAATAAGTATGAGTTTTATATAGAATGAGTTTTATATCAGAACTTTTATTTCTGATCAAGAAATAAAAGGTGACTTGCATACTACCTCTAAAGCACATCTCTGGCTCTTTTCTATAGATTGTGGAAAGGTGAATTTAGGTGTGTTGGGAAAATATCACGATCACATCATCCTGTTGTTCGTTGATTGCCTCGAGCAGGCCCCAGTAACGTCTCCTTCGTCCTAGCCCTGAGATTTTAAAAAGTGCCATATTCAAGGCTCTTTCAGGGTTAGGAGAATGAGACCCATCATTGTTACTGGTATTTGGCATATTTGGTAGGCCACGGGGAGTTTGCCAGACTCTGCCCTGTGGGCAGGCTACATTCGATAGCCTGCAAGTTTGTCCAAAGTAGGAATGAGATAATAAGATGTCGGGGAAATTTACTTACCAAAAAAAGAGCAAACTATGCAATAAATATTCATTACTTTTTGCATTCAAACTGTGCCTTTTGTACCTTTAAAATGCATTCTTGAATGGAATGGGGTGGGTGGTAAAACAGTATTAATTTAATTTACAAAGAAGAGAGTGCGGAAGAGAGTTAGGAAAACCTTAGGAGAAAGAAGAACTATCCCATAGGGAAGAGGAGAGCCAGTATTTGTTTCTGTGTCTTTAAGTCTGATATTACAAACCACATATTTTCTTTCCTGATGTTAAGATGAAAACATTTCTCTTGATCTGATTTGTAACAGGAATCTTCAGAATATCTAGTTCTTTACTGATTTTTTTGATTTTTGAAAAATATAGGACCTTATAACCACAGTGACTGGAAATATGTCTTGTTCTTATTCTGTTTCCAAAGTTGTTTGTTAAAAACTTTGGTTCCATAGCAAATTTCTTTTTCTGACTTTAAAGACTTCCAGGGCTGGAGAGATAGATGAATGCATGACTGAGTGTATACTTTGCATGTGGAAGGGCCTACTTTGATTCCCTGCATCACATGGTCCCTAGACACTACCAGGAGTGACAGCCCCAGCACTGCTGGCTGTAGCCCAAACATGCTCCCCCACCCCCCCAGAAAACACAAAAATAAAATAATAAAGACTCCCTTTCACAGGATATAGAAACCTGACTCTGCTTCAAGTAGCTATCACATAAGGCACATGTTTGTTGAAATATTTAAATGTTAGAATGGTTAGGCAATAGCTAGTGGCCATTGTTTTGGAAAACATGCTTCTTCCTTCTTTATCTCTAAACAAAACCACCTGTTTTTGAGATAAGCAGTATTAGTTTATGATCTGCCCAGAAAAAGAGGCATGCAGACTTGAAAGGTAAGTTTAAATCTCTCTCTACTGGTCTGACTATCATGGCAGGCTGGCCTCATTACCTTGGCCTTTGTATAGATGGTAGTATATTTGTGGGTTTTCCCCCCCTTTTTCTTTTTTTTTCTTTTCCTTCTTTTTTGCTTGTTTTTGGTCATACCCTGATGGTACTCAGGGGTCACTCTTGGCTCTGCACTCAGGAATTACTCATGGTGATGCTCAGGGAACCATATGGGATGCCTGGTATCGAAACTGTTGAGCACGGGCAAGGCAAGTGCCTTACCTGCTGAACTATCTCTCCAGCTACCCCCACTTAAAAAAAATATGTGTGTGTATTTATTTATTTATTTATTTTGGGGCTATACCCAATGGTGCTCAGGGATTACTCTTGGCTTCGTGCTCAGGGATCACTCTTGGCAGTGCTAGGGGATCATATGGGAAGGTGGGGATCAAACCAAGGTTGACTGTGCAAGGAAAGCACCCCATTCACTGTATGCTGTACTATCTTTCTGGCCCCTCTATTTTTTAAAAAATACAATGTCAGTAATATTTGTAGAAAATAATAGGGAGTTAAAAATTGGAAGATACAGAAGTCTCACTTATTCATTTACTAATTCTCCCTTCTGTTATTTTTGTTGATGTTGCAGTGACCAGGGTCACACACATGCCTGGCTGAGAAATTCACACACATTTACTAGTGGTTGTTTACATGGGTCACACATCAGGCTGACCTTCTCACTAGGTATTGCACCTCCTTTTAATTTTAATGCTTGCACACACCCTACTGTGGTTTGGTCCAAAATTGCTTGTGGTGTTGGGGATTGGGGCGGGGTCATGGAGTGCCTGACTACTTGTTTCAAACAGCAGAGCTGTTGGGGCTGTGCTTAGTATGTGTGACAGTGCCATGGATTGATGTGTGACCTTAAGCTTGCTTAGGTCTAGCTTAAACTATGGTTTGCTGTTTCAGAATCCTGTAACTGAATGTGGGGATTGTGAACAATTTAGCAATGGTAAAAGGTCTCTGCGTGCATGGTGCATTCATATGCATTATCAACTGCCTAATGAATCTGAGGTGTTTCTGGCAGTACTTGCCAAAGTTGTATTTCTTGGGCTTGAATGGGTTGTGAGTGGAAAAAGTTTAAGAAGCCCTGTTCTAATACTGAGCCATCTCCTGGACCCTGATACCAGAAATTATCACCATCATCATCATCATCATCATCATCATCATCATCATCTTTTTTTCAAATGTAAATTAATGTGCCAATCCTCAACTGCAATGTAGGATAAGCACTTTGTTTCCATTTCACACATGAGAATGTGACACTTGAGGATTAAGCAACTTGCAGCTAGTAAGTGGCAGTGCCAGAATTAAAATTATTTGAATTCAAGTTGTGTAACTCTGGAATCATGTTAACTACTGCATAATTGAAAATTACTGAAAATGTATCAAATGTTGGTGGCTGGTTCTGGAGGTCTTCAGCTGCCGGAGCCTTGGTCGGGGCGAGGAGGGAAACTCAACCCACTCCCCTCCAAGGGGCCCCGGCGAGGACAGCCAGGCACGGGGGTAGGAGACTCTGCGCTGTTCTCTTCTGGGAGCTGGGTTTTATAGTCTCTGGGTCTTGGCCGTTGATGGGATTACACGGCGCCAGGAGGCCAGTTGGTGGGTGTGACCCCTGCCTACTGGAATATGGAGGATCTGGGTGGAGGATGCTCAGCCCTGATCCGAGCAGGCTTGGAGATCTCAGCCCCCAGAGCCGCATGCCTGTGTTCCTCTGCTTGTACCTTCACTCTCCACACGCATTCGCAGCCGCACGACATCTTATTATCTCATTCCTACTTTGGACAAACTGGCAGGCTACCGAATGTAACCTGCCCACATGGCAGAGTCTGGCAAACTCCCCGTGGCGTACCCAATATGCCAAATACCAGTAACAACGATGGGTCTCATTCTCCTAATCCTGAAAGAGCCTTGAATATGGCATTTTTTAAAAAATCTCAGGGCTAGGATGAAGGAGACGTTACTGGGGCCTGCTCGAGGCAATCGATGAACAACAGGATGGTCGTGATCGTGATCGTATCAAATGTTACTGGTGTCAAATCCTTAATTACCTATAGACTATTATTTTTAGAATACCTTCAACAAATCCTGTTTGTTTTGCCGGTATTACTGATTTTCATGCAGAAGCGGAAGTTTGGGCTATAGTTAGAATATTTGATTCCAGAAAAAATAAAATCCATCAGACATCATTGTGGAAAGAAATGATAGATGATGTATAGCACAGACTACCTACAGATTTGGATATATGTGGAGTTCAAAGGATTCAATAGTTCTTCGAAGATCACTGTTTATTGAATCTCTCCTGCCCGGAAGCTGTCTTGATATTAATAAATTTAATTTTTTCTTCTCACTTCACAGAGGCATTTAATCACATCAAATACCAAACTGCTAACACTCTTTCCTGGAGACAGAACTAAAATTTCTTTTCCTCAAAGAAGAACACCACCTGTAGGTGTTCGGCAGACCAGCATTGCTTCCTTCTTCACATTGCAACCAGGTATGGTGATGATCAGTGGGCACCCAGGGAGCAAAAGGGAGTATGCATTTGTTTCATGCAGGAACATTTATGAGAAGTGTTATTAGACCATTGTGTTAAACTAAGCTGACCATTAGAAGAAATGATACAGTAAATCATTCCCTTTTGAAAAGTATGTATGCTTTTATAATGCCTTTTTTTTGTTTTGCTTTAATATTAAATACTTTTATTCCCTGATGAAACAGTGAGGCAGGTTATATTCTGGGAGTTGGGATACATAGGGGAACAGATATGTCATTAACTGGACATACACACAATAGACTATAATGAGTAGTCTGTAAGATTGATAATTGATTTTTCTGTACAAACCTTCTCAAAGTAGTTGAGGTTCAAAGATGCTTTTTCTTGGAAAAATTGGCATAATAAAGTTGGCAGTTTTTTTGTTTGCATGTCCCCCCCTGCAAGAGACAAGCTGCCTCAGAGGAGGCTGGGACTTACAGAGCAGGGTCCCTAGCAACTAAAAGTGTTGGGAGTTTCTTACTTTTGATACAGTTCCCAGGATTTCTTTGGATGCACTTTCAAAATGCACTGTCCTCCCTACCCCACACAAAAACTCAAAATACTCTTTTGCTTTGAGCAACTGGGCAGATTTAAAAAAAATCTCCCCTCTCCAATTCTATTATATAATCTGAATTCTTAAGCAAAGTTGAAAACTCACAAGACTTTTTTTTTTTTTTGGCAATATAATTGTTGGAAAAGGAAAGTCAGTTTGTAATTATCCTTGGTCAGTTTCCTAATTAGGAAGAGAATGGGATCTATTACTTGTCTGATAAAATGGATAGTCTGGACACCCATTGTATTTTTTCATGCAGGAACATTTTTTTTTTCTTTTTGGGTCACACCTGGCGATTCAGAGGGGTTACTCCTGGTTCTGCACTCAGGAATTACCCCTGGCGGTGCTCAGGGGACCATATGGGATGCTGGGAATCAAACCTGGGTTGGCTGCGTGCAAGGCAAATGCCCTACCCGCTGTGCTATCGCTCCAGCCCCACATTTTTTTTTTTCTTTTGTGGTTCTTCCTTTGGATCATACGCAGCAATGCTCTGGAGTTACTCCTGGCTCTGCACTCAGGAATTACTCGCGGTGGTGCTTGGGGAACCATATGGGATGCCAGGGATTGAACCTGGGTCAGCTGTCTTCAAGGCAAATGCCATATCCAGTGTACAGGGCCCTGGATACCCACAGCTTTTCACTACTGGTTTTCTTAGAGGAGCAATGCCATCCTAATAGTATTTTCACTCCCTTCACATGAAATATTTGAGTAGTGGTGAAACTTAACTTTCTTCACACTGTCACTAAGTTTCTGATTGGAAATGTTAATGTAAACTTTGGTATTTTATAAAATAATGTATTGAACGTGTTTCTCAAAGGATAATATTCAGGAGTATATATTTGGCTATGGCCACTGTTTAGCAAAAACACATTATATATAAAAAGAAGAAAGTCGAACTGATGTACCCTATGCTAATTATATTCCACTTATGAAAATTTAACTGAAAAAGCAGAGTGGTCTGTTTAGCATGTTTTACTAGGTAGGTGATAGGAAGCATTCATATATTTGATGTTTGGGTAGGGGAATATAAATCACTTAGGAGACACACTTACCTTCCTTGTAGCAGGAAGATCAGCTACAAGAAGGGTATGTGAAGAACTCAAAGTAGCAAGAGTAGCCAGTATTTCAGAGGCCAACTAAATCCTGCTCAGGGCTGTTTTCTTATGTAGTAATACTTGTTCATGTCTATTAGGAAAGACAAATGGTGTTGACAAGAGAAATGCTTCGTCTCTTAGAGAGAATCAAACTAACCAAGAGTCTAAAGAAGATGTAACCCAACTAGATCATCCAGTCCAGGTCACAGAGAATGACTGCATTACACCCCCTTTAGCCACTTCAACCCCTGCAGACATCCAGGAAGTTGAACTTTCTCACTCCTTCCAGGATGGCTGTCCCAGAACAGGAACCCCAGTTTTGACTGTGCCATCTGCATTGCAGCCTGACACCTTAGTCTGTGACGGAGAGAGTAAAGCCTCACTGACTTGTCCATTCATTCGTGATTTGGAAAGTTCTTGCTTGCTGAACCAAGAGGAGGAAGAGGATTCTTTCTGGAAAAGGAAATGGCTTCGTGGATCTAAGCAAAATAACTATCAGGGTGTTGGGAGACACATGAAACCTCTTGAGGGTAAAAGCCAACATCCTTTGGATAGAACTAAATTGGGAAGACTGTCTGCTAAAGAAAATAGGCAGGCTCCTATCCTTCAAACATACAGGGATTCCTGGAGTGGAGAAAACACAGAATCAGTGAAACAAAGCCCTGGTCCTGGTCCTATACTTTCCTGGGACACTGGAAAGAATGAAGACTCTTGGAGTCAGCTTTTCACTGCAGATTCTCAGGGCCAGCAGGTCATTGCTCACAACTCTAGATCTCCTTTCCGAGAGGTCACCAACAAAAGGAATCAGGACCTAGAACTGATCTCTAATAGCCCTCGGGCTAAGTGTCAGGATGGGGCCATGCAATTAAGCCTGCAATCTGATTTGCTTTTTACCCAGGATTCTGAAGGCAATAAGGTTATCAAGCACCGTATCTAAATGTCTTTAGGAAGATCTGGTTGTGAATAGACCTTGTACAATTGAGAGGGTAATATTTTGACATGGATGGGAAGGGAGGCATGGTGGTAAAGCTGTCATTATTGAGCATTTTATTTGTGGTAACTAAGGTTGTGGCACTTGTAGAAATAACTATTGACATTATGCCTTTCATGGTGGCTGGTAAATTCCTTGAATCCTAGATAGGGACCACAGGTAGAACAGACATTTCTCTACTGAAGAAAGCTACTGATATTGCATACAGCCATTTTCGTTCTTTCAGATACCTGAAAGACATTGCCTATTACGAATGTTTTATTTTTATGCTACACCTGGGGGTGCTCAGGGGATATTCCCAGTTTGTTGCTTAGAGGTTGCTCCTAGCAAAGTTCTGGGGACCATGCAGTTTTAGGTTTCCAACTAGGCCTCATGCATGAAAATAATATGCACTAGCTCTTTAAGTTATCTCCCTTGCCCTTTGGACGTGTTTTTATCTCTGGCTGTATATAATTTTACTCAGTCCCTCGAGACTATTATTTTGCACATTAGTTTTAGTAAGGCAAATCTGGATCCAGGGAGAATGGGGAAAAAGATAGTTTTTTTGGGGGTGTTATTTTTGTGATATTTTTACAGTGAGTTATTTATAGTAAACTGATACTACTACAGTGTGGGAGACAAGCCTTTGTAAAAGCATGAATCCAAATAAATGACTATTTACAAAGCTGGCTCTGATGATAATTAAAGTATTACCGACTTTATTCTTGAAAAGGCAACTTTTAAATAGTATAATGGCTGGTCTGCCATGGATCTGGTGAGTCTGAAAACCTGTGTACTATAGGTACAGTGAAAACCTGTGTACTATAGGTATAGTTAACCATAGGTGGCATTTTCCTGTGCTGCAGGTGAGGTACTAAGGAGGCTTAACCAGCCTCTGGAGGAGCAAGTGTTGTAACTTTTAAAGTGAAACTGCTTTAAGAGGTTAGGGTAAATCTATACGGAAAGGGGCAAGAAACTTAGGTAAATTTTCTTCCCTAAGGCAGAATCTTACAAGAAAAAATGATATGTCAGGATCCTGTTTATTAAATTTCATAGATCTTAAAATTAAAAGTAACCCTATACCTGTATAGGGTAACAGATAATCACAACTCAAGAGATGGACATAGAAATTGTGGTATCTCTTCAAATCCCTTCCTTTAATGTTAGGTAGTGCTTCAATACACAGGATGCATACCATAGAGAAAGGGACTTGAGGGTATCTGAATCATGCATGATATAGTAGGTACAAATCTTGGCCAATCGCAAAGGAGCAGTCAAAAGGATGTAAGCTCTTTTCCCTCCCATTTCTCTTTCCTACTGGGCTTACTAAAGTCCCTAGAAGAGAAAGTTTTTCCAATCAGTGGAACTGATGAGGCTCCAGGGCCTTGGAGGGTAGATTTGGTTGTAGAGTATTACAAAATACATTTAAGAAAAAAACAGCCCAGGCCTCCCAGCAGCAACTCAAATAGTCAGCTGGTCCAGTGGCTGACCTCCTACATCAAGGTGTTAGAGAAGAGGAATGGGGTAATTGTTGGGCATTGGTGTGGTTTGTGATGGAGCAGCATAAGATTTTCCCTGACCTGTGAATAAGTACATAAACAGCCCCATCCCCCCCCTCAGCCCTGCTCTGCTGCAAGGAAGCCACTGAGAGTGAGTGACATGTGGGCACAAAGTGTCCACTGAGACCAGTTATGGTGACTGATAAATGCAGTGAAGTCATACACTTAGGACCTATTTCACACAGGGGTAAAGAAAAACCAGGAATTTCTATCTCACCCTTTAGACTCAGACAATCCAATCTACACATTTATCAGTAATAAGTGTCTCATCTCCAAAATAGGCCTTAGCTTCTGCTAAGATGTGATGATTGGGAAATACATAATTGAGCTCTTCTTTTTCAGTCCAAGCTCAAGCTTTTACAAGACTGTTGCAGAAGTTTTTTAATTGAGAGGCAGAAACATCTGTGGTGAGGAAGGCAGCTATTGAAGGAATTCCAGGAGCATGAGATTGAGTTTGCAAAGCTGAATGCTGTCAGTTTCCTTTTCTAGTGATGTCCTCTTCCTTCAATGCAAACTTCCTCCTGAGGACCTCAGAGATAAGGATAGCAGGGTCTTCCTCCTTCAGTAAACTCCGGTTCCTGGAGATAAAATAGCTTGTATTTAGTACTTTATAATCCAAGTAATGTTATTTTTGAATTAGCGATCTCATTTAACTCAACAATCTTATGAAGTCAGTGCTTTTTACAGATAAGGAAAATGAAATATAGAAAACAAATTTGCCCAAAGTTACTAGTCACTCAGCTATAAGTGGTGAATCCAGAGTCCAAACCTAGCTATAGATCTCATTTCTTGGGTTGGGAGTAGGGGCTCCCAAGCAGTGCTCCAGAAATCTAGGGGCCATTTCCAGAAAGCTTCCAACAACTGGGCTAGAGGTAAGTGCCCTACTATTGCTCCAGTTCTCCAGGGAAGTGATTTTTGACCTTTATTAATTCTGGGGAAAAGGTGTGTGGAGATTTCCTATTAATGAGGGAACTATAAAATATTTTAATAAGAGATCTAGAACTTGAAACCAGAGAGTGTAGGGTGCTTGTCTTGCATAGGATAGATTCAGGTTTGATCCCTGGCACTCCAAATGGTCCCTCGAGCCCACTAGGAGTAAGCCCTGAGCACCACTAGGTGTGGTCCCAAAAACAAAAAAATCTAGAATTTACAGTAGAACGTTTATATCACAAGGGAACTGTGGGAACAAAGTCAAATCCAGATTAAATTCACATTAATAAATACATCATAAGAAATAGATTCCTAGGGGGGCTGGAGTGATAGCACACCGGGTAGGGCGTTTGCCTTGCACGCAGCCAACATGACCGACACAGGTTCGATTCCCAGCACCCATATGGTCCCCTGAGCACTGCCAGGAGCAATTCCTGAGTGCATGAGCCAGGAGTAACCCCTGAGCATCGCCGGTTGTGACCCAAAAAGCAAAAAAAAAAAAAAAATTGGCTCTCTTACACCATTCATAGCCCCGTCAGTGATCAGCACAGGGCTAGCACAAATTGGAAATCCTTTGGTGTTTGGTGAACAATAGAATTCATGAGTTCCTTGATTGCATCAGTTCATCATGCAAGAGCAGCTAATAATAATACAGTCATAAGGGCTGAAAATGTGGCTTAAAGTGGTAGAGCATATGCCTTGCATATCTGAGGCCCTTCACTCCCTGGCACCACACACACCCCCACGCAGAAATCCAGTCAGGAGTAACCCTACCCTCGATGTGCTCTTCAATTGAAGTTCATCCCTGACTCCTGAAATGAAATTTTAAAGTGTTTAATAAACTGGGACACATGTCTTGAGTCTATGCAGTACTGAGTTCTGGTGTCATTCATTGATACCAAATATAAATAAAATGCCATTTGACTAGGGATATAGCTCAGCAATAGAGCTTACTCCTGGCTCTGTGCACAGGGATCACTCCAGACTGTGCTCAGACTGTATGTGCTGCTGGAGAAAAATGGTTAGCTGCATGTAAAAAAACACCTGCTCACTCTACTATGTCCATCCCCTTGATTCTGAGTTTAAGCTGTATTTTTAAAAAACAAGTCAAGAAGCCAGATTTAGGAACTACCTAAGAATCTTAAAAGCCTTGACTTCACCTTGAGATGCTAAAATAATATAACCCCACATCTGAGGTTGGAGCATAGGAATACTATCACCGGTAGCATGACAACTGAAGTAGTAAAACTTTGGATTAGATCCAGAATCTAGGTGAGTCTGAGCCTTCTTGTAAAATGCCTACTAGTAAAAAATTTGGCTAAATCATTATCTCAGACCATCCCAAACAAATGTAAAGTGCTGGTTCTTCAAAGAAGTGTCCCCACCCTGGCATGAGGCAGCTTGCAAGTTTTGTGAACGAAAGAACAAAGAGCTATCGCTACAGAGCATTTATACCGATCTAAAACTTTTTCCTAAAATAGGCAATACTGCCCCCTGGGGGTGATGGTGAGATCCATGGGGATGGTAGGAGTCTGGAGTACAACTGGGGGCACTGAATATTTTTTTCTGAAAAGGTAGCTAGCTAAACAATTTTTGTAACCTCCTCTACAACTTAAACAGCATAACATATGTCAGCAGAAATCCTTATCAAAATACTTACAGATCTTGGCTCTGTTTTATCCGGTGAAAATCTTTCAGGATCCCCATCATATCAGCAAAACTGCTGGCTTTTGACAGAGAGACACAGTCATCCTCTTCAGACGAGCTGCAGGTAGCTTTGTTTTCTGGTTTGCAACACTCTGGGCTGGCAGAACAAAGCAGGGGGACTGATGGAAGCTCAGGGACCTCTACCTCAGTCTCCTCGGTGATGTCACTAATGACAAAGGAAGTTGTAGAGTGGAATGAGGATCCAAAACAAGGTAAGGGAGAAGAGACATTTGAACTTCCTGGAGATAAGAAATCTGGCGTTAATGAAGTCGAAGCTGAAAGAGAAAACAACAAGCATGGATGGGCATTGTGGCTAGAACAGAGCAGTAAATCTTTTCCCCACAAACACTACCTATATTCATTTTGGGGGTTACACTATGGTATAATTGAAGAGCCAGGATGGTATCTGTAAACCTGTGGACAGTTCCCCCACCACTCCCCTTACCCACCCAGGATCTCAAAAAATATGTAGAACTACAAGGTCCTAAAATGTCCCGTTCCATAGTAGGCTATGGAGTAATAAGCCCAGAGCAATAATGACAGAACTAAAATCTCAACTTGTCCTTTTCTCTAACAGATTAGGGTTTCTGACTATGCTCCCTGAATCCTTGCTCAGGGCTTACTCCTACCGCTACGATGATTTCTTCAATTTCTAAGTATCTTAAGAATCACAAGCATAAACTTATTGCTTGGATGATGAAGCAATCATCTTCATGAAAAAAACCTTTCCGTGATTTTTGGAAAGTTTAAATATAATTCTCTATTATTACCATATGAAGGTTAAGATTAAATATATGGTTTTAAATAGAATACTAAGAATTTCATGTGTTCTACTGTTAAAAAGTTTGAGCTATGCTTTTTAGGTAAGAGAAAACATTAGGATGGAAAGAGAATGAGGTAAACCCTGAATATTTTGGGAGAGATCCACCTATTTCATGCCACTGATCAAGACAGACACCGATCCATCCAGTGGAAATGGCTTAAGTGAAGACTGAAAAGTAGAGGGATGGGCATAATCTGGTAGAATGGACAAGGAAATAGAAAGGGGTGCTTACAGGAATTATTCCTGAGTGCAGAGCCAGGAGTAACCCCTGTGCTTCGCCAGGTGTGACTCAAAAAGCAAAAAAAAAAAAAAAAAAAAAGAAGGGGGTGCTTAAAAGGGATGTGTTTCTTAGTGGCTGGGAGTGTTATCCCCTCTCCCCATCCCTCTTTCTTTTATGCCTCATTCCAGATCGGTGAGGTGCCAGGGACAGAACCTGGGGTCCTGCATGCAAAGCATGCATTCTAATCTCTTGAACTATCTCCCTGGCCTCTACTTTTATATTTTGGTAAATTTGTACGGAGGAATTATAAAGAATGAAAACATAAACCTATAGAGCACCTTCCCCTCCTCCCCTTCTCGGACAACTAGGTCAGAAGTATTATTATGCTTGGGCCCTGGGATATGAGATAACAGGGACCATCCTAGTATGCTTAGGAGACTTCAGGGCTTCATCCAGCAATGCTCAGGGGATCACTGATATTGGGGATCTCTGGGGTTGGCCACATGCAGGGCATTTTTCTTAACCCCTATGCTTTCTATCTGGTCCCCAAAACATTTTTTAAAATGTGTTTCTTGTGAAAATGAACTTCTATTCAATCATCCTACTGAATTATCAGGAAAAAAATATTCCAGCTCAATCAAGACAAAATATATTTTTCCACAAAGAAACATTCAGAGTCTATTTGCTCCACTCAAATTACATTCAGAAGTGTGGCAGGCTTAGTATCTTCCATTTCTTCCAAGCTCAAATCATTCCCGGGATATTTTGCAAGGTAGTGATGAGACAATTGAGTTTAAAGGTATTTTTGATAACCTGTCAATGTACAAATCGGAGAACCACACTTGATGGTGTAATATAAATTTGGCATCTAACTGCATTACTGCAGTGCTGTGTGCTATTCATGAATGCTGAGGGTTGCTTACTGTGGACAGTCTTTTTATTCCGATGTGAACACTACTAAAAGTACTGACATCTGGGAGCTGGAGAGATAATATAGCAAGTAGGGCAACTGTCTTGCACACACCTGACCAGAGTTTGATCAATGGCAACCTATATTGTCAATTGAGCTCTACTAGAAGTGATCCCTGAGTGCAGAGCCAGGAGTAAGAGCTGAGCATTGCCAGGTGTGACCCCCAAATACAAAACAAGAAGCACTGACATTTGGGTTGGAGTGATAGTACAGTGGGTAGGCCACTTGCTTTGCACATAGCCAACCTAGTTTTAATCCCTGGCATCCCATATGATCTCCAGAGCCCTACCAGGAGTAATCATTGATCCTGCAGAGTCAGAAGTCCTGAGCACTGTCTGGCATGGCCCCAAATCCAATAAATAAGTATTGACATTTGTGGGGCAAAATAAATATGTGTCAAAACCCAAGTGACTTCAATGTGAGGTGTTCATTTTTCTGTGGTGACTCTTGGGTGTTAGAGCACACAGCCTCCCAACCACTAACCCTGTTCCTCATACCCCTTTCAACATTTGATGTCTTTTTCCCAGGGCTGGGAGAAGGTACAGTGCTTAGGGCACATGCCTAAGGTTTGATTTTTGGCACCATATGGTTTCCCCAAGCATTGCCAGGTGAAGCTCTAGAGGTCCGTCCCCCCACCCCCCCACCCCCAGCACTGCTGGGATGGCTTGAATACCCCTGGCACTGCAGGAACTGAGTAGTATTCCAGTCTTGGGCCTTTGCATTAAATCACCAATGTGGTTGGTCAAGAGTCACTGGTGGGGGCTCCTGATCTCCTGAGCATCACTTAGGTGGCCCTTCAATATCTTCATCTTAGTATAGCACTATAGCGCTGTCCTCCCATTGTTCATCGATTTGCTCAAGCAGGCACCAGTAACGTCTCACAACTCCTTGTTATAGTGATACTTGGAGCCTAATGTTCAGTGAAAGACACATGGCCTCTGCTTTGAGTCCTAGTCCAGGTATTTAGTTTGTATCCTTGAGGAAGTTATTTAACAATCTGTAAACTTTTCTTTTTTTAAAAAAAACATTGAGATTAATAGTATAAGATTTCCACTGAGAATCAAAGAAGATGGGCAATGGTATTTTATGGAAAACTTTAACAACCTTCTGTTAAATTCATTGAGACTCCAAAGAGAAATGACCTGCAGGACAGAGGCTCTGAGTTTGCATCATAGTCTCTTGTCCCAAATATAAAAGATACAAGAACAAAGCTTTCCTGCCCTCAGAACTTCTAAGTTGTAGTCCTGTGGTATTTACATGTCATCTACATTAAACTATTTTACTCTTTCCTAATACCCATTTTTCTTGCTAATAGCACAGTAGTTGGGCATTTGCCTTGCACATGGTCAACCTGGGTTTGATTCCTCCGCCCCTCTCGGTGAGCCCGGCAAGCTACCGAGAGTATTTTGCCCACATGGCAAAGCCTGGCAAGCTACCCATGACGTATTCGATATGCCAAAAACAGTAACAAGTCTCACAATTTGTTGTGAGACCTTACTGGTGCCCGCTGGAGCATATATGTTTGTTAATTCCCATAGCTCGGGGATAACAAGGAGATACAGTTGTGACACATTTTAGATTTACTATTATTTCTCTAGTACTGGCCAACCCATCAGATTCAAATTGTTTTGTGAGGACTAGAAATAGTACAGAGGCATTTGTCTTGAAGTGGATAACCCATGTTAAATCCCCAGCACTGCATATGTCCCCTGAGTATTTCAGGAGTGATCCCTAAGTACAGAACCAGGAGTAGTTCTGAACATTGTATATGTGGCTCACCCCTCTCAAATTTTTAAAAAAAGTTGCTAGCTGGGGCGATAGCACTGCAGGTACATCATTTGCCTTGCACGTGGCCGACCTGGGTTCAATCCTGGGCATCCCATATGGTCCCCCAGGCATTGCCATAAGTAATTTCTGAGCTCAGAGCCAGGAATAACTTGATTATTGATGGGTGTGACCCAAAAGAAAAAAAATTTTTTTAATAGCAAGAAAAAGGTTGAAAAGAAATCATGCTTCACATGAAGTAGTTCTTCAAAAATGACACTAAAGTTGGCCAGGGAGATAGTTCAAAGCACTGGTGCACACCTTGTATGCAGGAGCCTTGGGTTTGATCTCCAGCACTGTATGGTCCTCAAGCATGCTTGACAGTAGCCCTTAAACGAGCCTGAGCCCAAAACCAAGGTGGGAAAAAAATTATTATCCTAAAGCCTGGCTACAACATGTTCTTTTCCTTTATGAAGATTTGCTAAGATCCTATCTAGTTGTGGTTTTAGTATGTGAGCTTTGGAAATTCCTGAAATTAGACTTCTTTTTCAAATCAATCTTGAGAACCTTTCGCTGTTCTGATAGAAGGCTTCCCCAAAACAGAGTAATAATGATCTGCTTAGTTTCTCAGCATTAGTGAACTTATGTCATATTGAAAAGGAATGCTGCTGAGAGTTCATGGAAGACACTATCTTACAGACACTTGGAAAGGGTGTGGGTTTTTGGGGTCAAGGAAAGGAATCTGCCTAGTGTCACAGGTTAAAAAAAGATGATTCTGTCTCTAACCTAGCCATCTATGGACTACAGGTTTGACCTCACAGAACGTCCAGAACTAGAGGCCTAAATTCCATCTGAACAAGGGACCATCATTTTTCTTACACATATATTCTTATCTCTATAGTTCAACAACTTCCTACATTCTGGCCCTGGCTCAAGGGTTCCTACCTGCATCAGCTGCCACTATTTTAGCAATCTGGCTGCGAAGGTGGCTCAGCTCATCCTGGAGCTCTGTGGTGCGACTTAGGGCTGGCAGGGCTGGCTTCTTAAAGGCCAGGAGTCTCTCCTCAGACCCACGAAGGTTGGGGACTGAGGCATTGCGTTGCATAACAATCAGAGGGCTGGGTTTCCAGGGGTGCCTCAGGGGCCGTGTGTCACTCCTAGACCAAAGAAATATAAGTCAGTTAGAGAGCTGGTGACTGTTCCCCTTCTGAAATTCCTTCACCTATTCATAGAAAGTTTAACATAGCCATATTCTTTTAATCCTTACTGTTTTCAGTCTGTCCCAAGCTTTCTCCTGGCTGGCTGCCACCTCATCAAGGAAGATGATTCCCATTCCCCAGCAGACCAGCTTTGCTTAGCTACCTGACCCGGGCATATGTCTCCTCTTCATCTGCAGCAATCCAGGCAATGTCTGCCAGAGTAGGGACTGGGGGCACATCCTTCAGACATAAGTCAGAGATATTGGGCAAGGTCTATAGGGAAACAAAATTAACCATTTAATAACATCATGAAGAGACAATTAGCGGTTGCAAAATATTTATGAGGGGAACTTAACACAAACGAGGTCCCTAGAAGAGGGGGAAAGATTCCCAGATGGGGCTGGAGCAATAGTATAGCAGGTAAGGTGTCTGCCTTGCACACGGCTGACCCGGGTTCGATTCCCAGCATCCCATATGGTCCCCTGAGCACCACCAGGAGTAATTCCTGAGCGCAAAGCCAGGAGTAACCCCTGTGCATTGCCGGGTGTGACCCAAAAAGCAAAAAAAAAAAAAAGATTCCCAGAATAAATTGGCTTCAATAAGAGCCCGCAAGCAAGGGTGAACAGATTGTCCAGCCTGGCAGGAACAGAGAAAATGAGGTGGGAAGTTAGAAAGTGAACTGGGAGCTAGGACCTAAGACCAAAATTGAACCCCTGGACATTTTTAAGTAAGGATAAAATTTTAAGTTTTATCTTTAGTTTCAAAAGATCCCTTTGGCTACTGTCGGAACTATGGACAGGAGTGAAGAGATCAATTGTGAGGCTTCTAGCAAAACATGGCCTAGGGCAGGGATACAGCCTGTTTTTATATGTTCCATTTTATTGGAAAAAAAATCATATCCATTCACTTAGATGTTGTCTGTAGTTGCTTTTAAGCTACAACTGCAGAACTGAATAGTGGGGTGGCACACATCCAGGTTATTTAAAGAAAAAGTTTCATGACCCTCGCTGAGAGCAGAGTTCTTAAGTCACTTGGGTTAGAATTACCTTTTAAAAAAGATGGTCACTCGTTAAGAATGTCTTGCCCTCTGGTTTATAAGACTGTAAGTGCAAGGACATCAATAATATGTTACATGGACAGAAATTTTTCCTAGCTAGTTCTTTACACTTCTGCAGTTGAGATCTATGCTATTACAGCACCATGTTTTAAGCAAATATAATTTGAATATTTAAAGAAAAAGGAGTGATAGTTTATACAAAAGCAATTATAATAAGATTCCCTAAATCATCCCCTCATCTCCAACAACCAGGGAATAGAGCAGTTAACTGATACTTTATTAACTAATTATGAGGATTTCAACCCTGTGTTGGCTATGAATACAAAAACATGCATATGAGTCTTGTATGTTACATCAATTAAAAACATCCATCTAGGAGTGGGGAGATAGATCAAAGAGCTAAAGCTTATATTTGCATTAAATCCCTCCTTCCCCCTAGCACTGCCAGGTATGGCTATTGTGGCACCAAGCAGTACTGCATCATTGAGCATGAGCATTGAACTGTCAGGCTTTCACAGCCCGGAACACGTATCTCTAGGAGTGGTCTTTGGGCAAGCACACACTGCTGGGGAGAGTACACATCCTCCAAAACAAAGATCTGGAAAAAATGGCTTTAATAGTTGTTGAATCATGACTATGTGATTATAGTTAATTTTCTTTGTCCTTTTAAATTTTCCACTATTTAACAATCTTATATGGATAAATTTAAAAAATAAGTAAGATTCCTTAAAATAATATATTATTTTAAGATATTAAATAGTATCTTAGGGAAATAGTATATTAGCTATGGTGCTTGTCTTGCATGCAGTCTGCCTGGGCTTAAACCCCAGTATACTATATTGTTCCCTGAGCACCGCCAGGAATAAACTCTGAGCATCATTGGGTGTGGCCCCCAAACAAACAACAAATTTCTTAAAATATAAGGAAAATTACTGTATTTTAAGTAATTTCTCAGTACACACCTATATCTTAAATTCTGATTTTTCTGCTGCAAATTGGTAGCTGGAATTGGTAGCTTTGGCTTTTGGATAGGGAACATTTGCCTCATAGTAACGAAATGATAGTCCAAGGTTACATAGGTCTTTCCACTAAACCAGAAATACTGCTAAGATATGCCATCTGGGAAGACTATTTGCTTTCTGAGATTAGTCAAATGCTCCTCTGTTACTGGAAGTTAAAGAACTTATTAGCACTGTGCCTGGCACATAGTATGTGCTTAGTGTTATCTAGTACTAGTACTTCTCAGATACACACCTGTTCTTATTGACTACTCCACAGTATCCAGTCATTTCATACTTCCCAGTTGTGCATTTCCCATTGTTTCTGATGTTTGAGGCCACTAGGGCAAACATCCTATGCATATTCTTCAAGGCAATTCTGGATAATTGGGATACTACCCCCAACATTTTTCCTAGCTCTAATTCTAATCCTGACACCATTTCTAACTATAGATCCCGTTGCTTCACAGACATTGCAACTCAGCATTTGACACACAAACAACTTCATTTTGTTCCCACCTGACCTACATCTTTTCAGGCATATATTTCTGTGGGTGGTTAGAAAGCTGAAGTTTTTCTTTCATGTCCCATCTCCTCAAACACATATACACACCTTAAACATATAGCCCAGAACTGATGCTTAACCATTAGGTCTTAGAAGGAGGAGGCTCCAACTAATGAATGTTAGTTTCCACTGCAAAAGGGGGTCTAGGAGACTTGAAAGAAACTCTAGCAGAGTGGGTGCTAATGGCGTATAGACAAAGAGATAAGTATATAAGCCCTCCAAAAAAGGAGTGGACAGACTTAAGAGAAAGGATAGGGAGTAATGGCCTTAGGAAACGCTAAAAATAGATGGCTAAGTAGACAAGTCTTAGAGTTGGTTAAAGAAAATGGAGTTTTCAGTGTTACGGCTGGTCTTGTGATATGGTTCATTAAAGGCTTTGGCCTGCTCTAATAAACTAGGTTGATGGACTTAATGAAATCTGAGCAGAGGTATCAAAGATTAAATTTTGAGAAAAATGGAAGTCTGTTGTCAAAAGTTTGTATGAAACAAGACAGTGATGTTTTTGGCAAACTATTTCTTGACAAAATGCAGAAGTGACCAGGTAAATAACATGACTTGGCAACCTGGGTAACAGAAACAGGAATCTGGTTAACAGAAACAGCATAATCCACCTTCCTCCCTTTCAAGAGTACTTACCTCAAAGGATGCCCTAGGACATGGCTTCAGGGGCAGGTTGGTCCCAATTCTTCTCACTACACTGCGAGCAGCCCCATGGGGTTTATTTTGCCAGATTGGGATGGTCTAGAGCAGACACAGGGACAGCAACAAACTCAGAGAGAAGTCCAACTATAATCCCCTCCCCCCCAACACAACCCCTTTCCCTCCCAGGGATGCTACAGGAGTAAGGCAGTTCTCAGTTTTGAATGAAGGTAGGTTTCCACTGTCACCAGCATTCACCTTGGCCAGCACCTAAGTCACCTACTGCTGTCACGGTAGTCACTGTTGGGAGGGTGAGTGAAGGGGTTAGGAATGAACTCTTAAGGGGGTCATCTGCTGCTGTCAAGAAAGTCAGCGTTGGGAGGATTAGGATTTAGCTGGATGTAAGGATCACCCAGGCTTCCTTTTCCAATGAGAGGACAGTGCTACAGTAAGGATCACCCAGGCTTCCTTCTCTACAGTGGAAAAAGCAGAAATCCTGATTCTTAAATTGTTCCAATCATAGCTGGTTCTGACTAGGGGACAGGAGTAGAAAGGTAGTTTCCCCCAATTCTAACCCTCTAGAGGAAAGGGAAATGATTTCTCGGCTTGTAACTTTGGCATGCCAGGTGTTAAGCCTTCCCTACAACACTCCTGCCCTGATAATGATGTTCCTTACCACATTGGCTTCCATTCCCGACATCTCAACCAGCTTCTGCACTTGAAGGACAAGGCAGCCACACAGCAGCTTTGGGGGCTTGGAAGCGTAGCTCCTTCATATCAGGCCATCGTAAGGAACACCAGATTTCACTTCCTGTGAAACAATCCCCATAGTAGGGACTCAATGGCAATTATACAAGCCCCACAAGTTGTTCTGCTGTTTTATAGGGTGCAAAATATAAATCGAAGAAGCTAACCTCACCCAATGATGACTCTCTGAATCTACCTCAAAAATTCTGCTCCAGGCTTGCTACATGGTCATGGATCACCTTGGGAGCCTTTCTGGGCCCTGTTTCCTGAAACTTCTAGACATCTAAGTAATCTAAAAACTACTGTGGCAGTTCAAGAGTTCATGGGAGGGCCAAGAGATGCAGCTCAAAAGAATGGAGCGCATGCCTGTCATGTGCAAGGTCATTGTTTTTTGGCCACACACACTGGTGCTCAGGGCTTAGTCCTGGCTCTGCACTCAGGAATCACTCCTGGTGGGCTTGGAGGACCTTATGGGATGCTGGGGCCTGAACCCAGGTCAGCCATGTGTAAGGCAAGTGCATTACTAACTTTACTATCTTTCTGGCTCTGTGTTTTATCTCTGCAGCTCTGGGCTCAAGGACTGAACCATTGCGCCTACACCACAGAGCCTAATTTTGCCAGGAGTGGGCCCTATTAAAAAAAAGCTCATGGGAGTTGCTAGGAATGTGACTCAAGTGCTAGAGAACATACATTGCATGTGTAAAGCTATAAGTTCTAGCCTCATATCACATGCTCCCTACTCCTAGCATGGCCTGATTATGTCCATGATAGCTCCCCCAACACCTCCAGGAATAATCTCCATAACAATAATGACAAGAACATGGGGGAAAGCCAAGTTGCAGCTCCGTCCAGAGTCCAATGTTCACACTTAAAGATGAGATATAAAAGGCTCAGCATGTGCCACCCAGTCTGGCACTGCTGGGACCTAGTGAACAGAACTAAGACAAAAGAATGAACAGTTAGTTTTAGCAGTCTCAGTCTACTGGGCTACAGGGAAAAAGAGTCAAATTATTTTATACTGGTTCAGTCATCTACTGTCTACTGGTCAATCTTAGGGTCAATCCGTGAAACTGAACCACCCTCTCAGCCCCCAAAATTGGATCCAAGGTCTCACACATACATACCAAGTGCTCTACTGCTGAGCTATATCCCTAGTCAAATGGCATTTTATTTATATTTGGTATCAATGAATGACACCAGAACTCAGTACTGCATAGACTCAAGACATGTGTCCTAACAGTTTATTAAGCACTTTAAAATTCATTTCAGGAGTCAGGGATGAACTTCAATTGAAGAGCACATTGAGGGTAGGGTTACTCCTGACTGGATTTCTGTGTGGGGGTGTGTGTGGTGCCAGGGAATGAAGGGCCTCAGATATGCAAGGCATATGCTTTACCACTTTAAGCCACATTTTCAGCCCTTATGACTGCATTATTATTAGCTGCTCTTGCATGATGAACAGATGCAATCAAGGAACTCATGAATTCTATTGTTCATCCAACACCAAAGGATTTCCAATGTGTGCTAGCCCTGTGCTGATCACTGAAGGGGCTATGAATGGTGTAAGAGAGCCAATTCTTAACTGGCAAAGGTGAATTATCACCTATTGAAAGAAACCAGATGAGGATTTCTTAAGACTTTTTCTCCTGACAACCCTCTTTGCGTATGAGAAATGCAACAAAGGTGAGCTTGCCAAAAATGCTCCAGTTGATTTTGACTTTTGGTCCGCATTCATAAATTATTTAGCTAAGTTTTTTTGTGATCCCTGTATTCAATACAAAACCCCATGTAGGGTCACCACCCAGTTTAAGAATAAAATTCCGAGGTAAGTGGCCAGGTGAGTTTGGCCTCCTAGTCCCAGGGTACTCTGGTGAACAGGAAGACAAAAAACCGTAAAGACAGAAAGCTGAGAAGTAAAGAGACTGTGAAAGACCTGCAAGGGTTTGTTTGCTTTTGGTAAAGTTATAATGGGTGCAAATATCTGGGTGAGAAGTCACCGCAGAATCAAGGACTGCCTCCCTAGTCCTCCAAAGCAGCCCTTTCTGAAAACTTTCTTTCAAGAGAAGTGACCTCTTTTCTGCTTGACAGAGGACATCTCACTTGCTTTAAGATGCATAGAAGGAAAGAAATCGGGGAGAGGTCAAGACTTGGCTGAGGTCACTCTGCGGCAATGCCAATAGAAAGCACAACTCTGATCCAGGTTCTGTTGCCTCGTATGTGGGTTCAACTCTAGTTTATCTATGTTCCTTTGCCGGCCAGGCACTGCGCGGAATGTCAGTGCTTCCCCAGGTTTTTGACTTAAGTCACTTAACCACTTAATCTCTGAACAACTTCGGAGTCTGTCGAGTCTAACTCCGGGGACAGCAGAGGGGTCTTTCTAACATTAACGGCTCGGTGCAAGGCTTCCAGTCTGAATCCCCCTGCTGCCAGGCTGGAGCTCACGGGCTCAGTTCCGGGCTCCCTGGCATTCTGCCGGATCGCGACCTCTTTTCTCTGGGCACACACCTAACCCGTTCGTTCTCAGGGCCCTGGCAGCCACGCCTCCCTACCGGCAGACCGGCGGGTCCTCGCTTCCTCCGGCTCCCGGCACCGGCCTCCCTCGGCTCAGCTCCCTCTGCAGGGCTCGCTTCCCCGAGGAGCCCGCTCCCGGACATTCCCCCGACACAGCGCCCCGCACTTCCCTCCGCGTCCTCCAGGACCAGAATCGCCCCCGGGACCGCACTCACGCTTCCGTTTAAGAAACCAACGGGATCGTCGGATGAGATCCACGCCGGTCGGGGCTTCCCCCGCCCGGCTGCCGCTGCGGCCCTGCCGAGGCCGCCGTCACGCTGCTGTCCACGGGAGAGAGGGCGCCCAGGCCAGCCGGCCGGCCGCCAGGGAACCGGGTCCCGCAGGCAGGGCTGTGGGCCCGCGGGGACCGCAACGCGGCTCCCGGGGGCAGCCGCCGCCGCCGAGACACGCCTCCCGCCGCCGGCAACAGCCCGACCCCGCAGGGCCAAGGTCGGCCAAGTTCTCTCCCGCGGCCCTTGGACTGAGCCCGGGGACGCGCCCCGGGGGTTGAAAGCGGCAGCCGTGGCGCGGCCCACACGAGAGGCCTCCCGGGGAACTCGGCCACCGTCGCGGGGTGACGCCGGCGAGCTGCGATCCCTCGGGGCCTCAGTTTCCCTCCCTTGCCTAAAGACGCCCGGCAGCAGCGGATCCCGCGAGAAGTGGCGCGGGAAGCGGAACGGCGGGGCCCGCACAGCTCTCCGCACTAGGCTGTGTCTCCCGCCGGGCCGTGAGGCTGAGCGCCGCCGGCGGTCCGGCCCTCAAGACTCGGACTCACCTCAGACTCAGGATCCGGGACTCACCTCGCGGCCCCTCCTACTACCTCAGCGGGCCGGCCCAGCTCCACTAAGCTGCGCCCGCTTCCGCTGCCCGCCTCCCGGAAGCGATTCTTCGCGCCTGCGCAGCGGGCCGCGCCCCCGCTTGCCCTCGGAGGGCGGGCCCAGTTGGGGGCGGGGCGAGGGGCTGTGCGTGGGCGGGCGGCACGTGCGGAGGGCGGGCCCTCGAGACCACGCCCCGCGGGATGGGAACCCAGGGCGGAGTAGACCGAAGGGTGGATTCTAGAATCTTGATGGCTCTGCTGTTCTCTCCTCTTTACTACTATTCCCTCTTACCTCCCCACCGCCCCCGCGAAGAGGGAAGCCGAGGTGTGACTGTCGCTGCTCCGCCCCCAAATCCTGCTGTGTCTGTTGCACCCACCCCACAGTAAACTTGAAAATCCTCATCCCAGTGCTTAATGCTTCTCCCCACTTGCCTATTTTGGTCTGGTTCCCTGCCCAAACCTGACAGTCTTCAGCAGGAATAGACCTCTTTTTTTTCTTACCCTTGCCCTGCAGCGCTTTGTAGATCTCTATTCTTTTTAGCCTTTGTGGGTGTCACAAACATAAACAGAAGTTATATTTAGTGATTGATCACACATTCCCGTGGATTATTGGGCAAGATCCCAGATGCATTGGGAGAAATTCCTTTCAGGCTCACTCACCCACTCTGTGTCCTCAGATTCTCACTGTCCTGATCTCCCTGGCATCCAGGCCTGACTCACAGTCTCTCTTCTGCCTGAAAGACATGGCTGTTTCTGTCTCCCAGACTGCAGTTCTTTGGCTTCAGAGGTCGCAAGTTGGAGCTGCCCAGGAGAGGTCACCTTCCTGGGAAGACAGCACACAGCCCACACACATGTCAGAAGATCTCTGTACTTGCTCTAATACTCCCATGCTGCCCTGATAGATTAATAATAATTTTTTTTCTTTTTGGGTCACTCTGTTTTTATAGTCTCTGAGTCTTGGCCGTTGATGGGATTACACGGCGTCAGAGACTATAAAAACCAGCTCCCGGAAGAGAGCAGTGCAGTCTCCTGCCCCCGCACCTGGCTGACCTCGCCAGGGCCCCTTGGAGGGGAGCGGGTTAAGCTTTCCTCCCCGTCCCAACCAGGGCTCCGAAGACCTCCAGGACCAGCCACCACCATGCTGAGACCACTCTCCGCACACCTGAAGGTACCGGCAGAGGAACAAAGGCAAGCGGGTCTCGGGGCTGAGATCTCCAAGCCTACTCGGATCGGGGCTGAGCATCCTCCACCCAGATCCTCCGAATTCCAGTAGGCGGGGGTCACACCCACCAACTGGCCCCCTGGCGCAGTGTAATCCCATCAACGGCCAAGACTCAGAGATTATAAAAACCAGCTCCCGGAACCACGCGGCCGAGAATGCATCTTATGACATCTTATTCCTACTTTGGACAAACTGGCAGGCTACCGAATGTAACCTGCCCACACGGCAGAGTCTGGCAAACTCCCCGTGGCATACCCAATATGCCAAATACCAGTAACAATGATGGGTCTCATTCTCCTAAAGAGCCTTGAATATAGCACTTTCTTAAAAATCTCATGGCTAGGATGAAGGAGACGTTACTGGGGCCTGCTCGAGGCAATCGACGAATAACAGGATGGTCGTGATTCGTGATTGGGTCACGATGCTCTGGGGTTACTCCTGGCTCTGCACTCAGGAATTACTCCTGGCAGTGCTCAGGGGACCATATGGGATGCTGGGATTCGAACCCGGGTTGGCTGAATGCAAGGCAAACGCCCTACGTGCTGTGCTATCGCTCCAGCCCCAGTAATTTTTTAACAGCGGTTTTGGCATTTGTATTTTGCAAGTTTTCTTTTCCCACAGTGACTAGTCCTGGTTAGAGACCTTACAGGTTGTCCAGTCTGATCCCACCATATTTCTCAGCTGATCCTGGTTGACTGCCAAGAAAAGTAAATTGTTGCTTGAAACATTGATTCCCACTCCTGGGCAACTGCAGATTTTGAAAACCCATACTGTGTTTCCTGGAAGTGTGGGAATCTTGGTACCCCATTCAGATCCCTTTCACCACATAAGAGGATTCATCTTCCAGCTGCTAGGTTGGTTGCTCACAGCCACCCCTTTCTCTGGAAAATTGCCCTTGCAGGAGGCAGTATGGAGCTCTTGCACTGGGAATATACTTCACCTTTCCAAGCTGGTCAAGCTCTGCCCTGTGATTTGTGTTCCAAAGCCATTCCCCTGGGACCCTGGGATCAAGCCAGGCCTGGGCTTTGAGACTATCCCTGCTCAATGTTTTCTCTTTCTCTGTTTTGCTTCTCTCCTGGTTTTTTTTTTTTTTTTTTTTGCTTTTTGGGTCACATCCACCTGATGTTCAGGGGTTACTCCTGGCTCTGCATTCAGGAATCACTCCTGGCAGTTCTTGGGGGACCATATGGGATGCTGGGAATCGAACCCAGGTCAGCCGCGTGCAAGGCAAACGCCCTACCCGCTGTGCTATTGCTCCAGCCCCAACTTCTCTCCTTTTATAGGTTTTTCTAGAAGTGTACTCCCTTCCAAAAAAAAAAAAAAGTGACCTAATGCATCTCAGGCTGTTTCTAAGACAATGGGTTTAATTTCAGAATCTTTCTCAGCACAGAGCACCAGATTCTAAAAATAGTTAAGTTCTACTACTAAGTCTATCACAAATTTATTTTGAGCAAGTCACTGGCACCTTCTGGTAACAGTTAAGATAGTTCCCAAAAGGCGTTCGAGCCATATTCCCTTGCACACCAGCCATGCCAAACCAAGCAGGGGCATCAGACCAAGAAGGAAAAAATGGAATGTCTTACTCAAAGAAAAGACACCTAGAATCAGGCTTGTCTCTTCAGTTTTATTACAGGACACATTGGGGGCAGAGAGTGTAGTAGAGGGGTGACAAGAGGGAAGCTGGGGCCCAGTGCAGGTGCAGGGGTTTGGCAGAGGAAGAAGGCCCAGCACCAGGACTGTCTATAATGCAACAGGCCTTCTGACTCAGGACAAGAAAAGGGCCTGCTTGTGGGGGAAGCTGAGTCCCTCCACATTAGGTGGCTCAGGGCACGGGTTAAACCACCCATACCCGGAAGGGGTGTCCCCTCACCCCTGCAAGGGGCTTGCAAACTGTCTCACAAAAGGGCACATAGGATCTGGCGGAGCTTGCTGGAAAGAGGGGAAAAGAGACCTTTTGGCTTTTTTTTTTTCTCACGCCAATAAAAAATGGTAGGGGAGGGTCAGAGAGAGAAAGCACAGCAGACAGGATGCTTACTTTGCACGTGGCCTACCCAGGTTCAATCTCTATCACCCTTAGGGTTCTCTGAGCCCACCAGGGATGATCTTTGAGTACAGAGCCAGAAGTAAGCCCTGTGTACCACTGGGTGTTGGCCCCCAAACAAAAACAAATAAGGCAGAGGAGACAGATGGGGGTAGGCCGCGGCAATTCAGTACAAAAGGAAACCCTCCAAAAAATCAAGAGGGGCTGAATCTCATGTGAAGTCTCTGCACTTCCCTGAGACTCAGCTTCTTTATCTATAAAACAGGAACAAAACGGTATTTGTCTCAGGTTAGTGTGAGGATGAAATGGGAAAATACATGTGGTTTTTAACAAAGACGGTAAAGGCTCTTGGGGACAGCTATTTTTATTCTTGATAGAACACTGAGAACAAGAGCTGGGCTATGAGGAAGGCTCAGTTGTGGAGGCGCCCCAGGCAGGCAGGGAACTCAGGCAGAGAGCTCTGGGGCGCCCCTCAGGAACTGTCTTCCTCCTTCTACTCTCTAGGACTGAGGTGGGGGAACACAGCACAAGGGCCCCTCGTGGACAGGTTTGAGTGGCGGACAGGCTAGAACTGAAGGTACACTGATCCTCTGAGAACTATTTTTAAAAAGCTGGAAGAGAAGAGAGGAACGTTTCTTCCCACAGGACAATCGCAAAGACATCAAGCTGGATCCATCTAGGATTTCAGATCCAGCCATCATGGGGCGGTTGTGGGTAGGGGTAAAGCCCTCTTCTTTCTCCTCAGTGCTGGGATTATCAAAAATACTTATAAACTGTGAGAAAGTTCACATAAAAAATTTTTTTTCCTGCTTGTATAAAAAAGAGATGGCCACTGTTTGTGGCTCAGGACATAGACCAAGGCCCAAGTGGCCAAGGGCCAACGGCTACCAGCTGGATTGGGTGCCCTAACGGTTGGGTGGGCTGTGCTCTTGGCCGGGCTACCCTTCTATGGAGCTGGGGTCTGAGGATGATGGGAGCACTGGTTCCAGCCATGCTGCTGGGAGCCTGGGCTGGGGCAGGTGGCGGCGTGTCAAGACTGTGGGCCTTAGGGGCTGCTCAGGGGACCCGCTGTTAGGGGCTGAGCTGACCTCTGACAATCCCTGAAGTAGGCCGGGGGGAGGAAGGTCCTATCTTATATCAGTTAGTGGTCTGGGGGAGCAGTAGGGGTACAGAATGATCTCCCCGTATGAAGCAGGAATGTTTCCCTCAGCC